TTGAGAATAGCTCGTTGGTCATTATTTATTGCTTGATTTTTCTTTGCTCGTCAATAATTTATAGTGGTTTTTTAAGAATGGAAGTAACTAACATAGTTTGCTGAATGTTTCAGGTTACCATCGTGGGATTTGCCGTACCACCCACCACACATCGAACATAATTTTTCCTAAAAATAAATCGAGTATTAACAAAATTTCATTTTAAATGATACTTTATTAAAAAGACAGAAAAGATACTTAAAAATCATGATAGAGTACAATACCATACTCGAATTCCCGCTCCAATATCATATCATTTTCTAATTTCATATCACCCACGCTTTCATCTTTTTATTTTTCATTTCATTCGTAGAAACTAATTATGTTATAATGTTTTTTAATATTTCTTATATTTTTCTAGCTATCAATGGTAGTATGATTTAATCTATCATCGTTGAAACTTAATTTTCATTTTATTTTGTTTCAGGATATGTTTATTTCCAACGCATTTGTAAGTATTGGATTTTGATCTAAAAAAGGAACATGCTTTCGATGCACATTCATTGGATTTTTACAAATCTAAACTAATCTTTCTTTTTTCTTTTTCAGGTTCGTTTCCTGTTTTTTTTTGTTAAGGGGTAGCGGGTAGATTTTTTCTTTGCGAAGAAACGTTTACCTCAGGGATGCGACCCTGCCCACGCGAGCCATAATTTTCTCCTATTTTCATTAATTGGGAGAAAATCATGTCCTTACCTAGAATTCCCCAACCCCCCCCCCCCACATCCTATCTTTAATATTTTGTTGGCAGGATGAATTATTGAGACGATGCAAAATTTTTTTCAAGAAGAGGTGAAGGGAGGATCGGAAGTGGACTGAGTTATGGTAAGCGGTAGTATTTTAATGTGTTTATTACTTTAATATTGCATCGCACTCGTGAGATAAATCATTGTTATTGCACTTTCATGTTTTTACAGGTACCATGGATCAGTCCAAATTTTTACAGATATCATGGATCATTCATTGCATCTTTGCAATTCTAAAAAAATCTTTTCTTTTTCTTTTTCAGGTTCGTTTTCAGGGCCACTATTCTTCTTTTTTTCTACTCCTTTGTTTTTTTTTGTTGCAGGTTCAATAGGAGGAGGACCAGACGAGGACTTAGTTATAGTAACGGATGGTATAAGGAAATTATTATTAGAATAATTAAATGTGTGTGTATAATTTTGATCTGTTTATTGTTTTCTCCGTAGCATCGCACGCGTGTGATAATTATTTTTAACGTATTTTCTTCGTTCGTAGGTTTCATGGAACAACCAATAATTGAATACTTTTTATATTATTTTACTTTATTTTATGTAAATTGAAAATTTTTATCTATTAAATAATCATAAATTGTAATCTATCCATGTGCATTTATCGAAATTATATCGGGGTGTGTAGGTTTTCAATTAAAATCATCGATGTTACTTAAAATCTATTCAGATGCATTCCTCGTTTTATGTTGGTTTTTCATTTTCAAACTTTTCTCTGTATTCTCGTTTACTATTTTAATGTTTTTTAGTTGAGACTCTTAGGGTGGGGCCTAAGAGTGGGATTCATTAAAAAACATTCTCGGGGTTTTTCATTTTCTTTGGTTTCAATTTAATTCGGATGTGGACATCTTCAGGATGCACATCCCGGGTCTTCAGAAGCGGTTACCTCCTCGTGGTTAGACCCGGGCAATGGTATTTTACTTTCAGTATAATGTTTAACATATTTTATATGTTATACATTCCATTGCAAGTAAAATCTAGCCAAAGACCGCTTAATTTTAAATAAAAACAAGAAATATAAAGTTTAAAAGAATAATAAATTTTAATTTTAAGTTATTTTTGTGTTGAGATAATTTTTATCCGCGTATTTGTTTTTTTTTTATTAAAATAATGTATAATATTTTATATATATCATATTTTGATTCGTTATTATTACTTTTTTAAGCAAAATTCTTGTTTTTATTTATCTCAAATTTATATAATAATTCAAATTTTTATATGCAACCTTGTACCGGGTCGCAACCCACACACTTTAAGGAGTGCTACCCTACTCACACTAATATGGGAGAAATAATCTAGAAGCTTATATACTGATTTACCATCAGTGCGGTTTTTCCTGCATTAATTGTAGTTTATATTTTGTCCACACCTGTCGCTATAGTCTCTTCTGCTTCGAGTGATAGTATAAGAATAACACTTTATAGCATTTAATATTTTTCTTTCACGAAAAAGATATTATTTGACAGATACTTTACAAAAGGTAAAACATAAACTACAAATTTTTTTGTATTGGTATTGTTATTTCATCGTTTAATATGTGAATGAAGAGACATAAATCAAAAGTGCGTTACATTAACACTTTGACTATTAATTTAATTTATAATATAACAATTTTCTTTTTAAATATGCATCAATTACATTTTGTAGCAGACACAACATGAATTTACGTGAGCCAAAAAAAAAGAAAGGATCAAAAGCAGTGTATAAATCTTCCATACCAATTACATTAGATAAAGGAGAATGGATTGTTTATACCGCTCATCTTACAGATTCCGGATCTTGCATTAATAATCCGGATGAAATTGCAACAGTTCATTCCATGGTTTGTCATTATTTTCAAAATATATTTTATTTTTAAGCTTATAAAATATATATAAAATGATAAAAAGAAAGGGTTCAATATTTTAAGTGCTTAAAACACTCGCCAAGACGAATAAAACATGATTGAAACTTTTAATTTGAACTTAGGGGTTTTATGGTAAAGGGTCTTTATCACGAGGTTATCCAACATTTGGAAGAGCTCGATATAATGCACCACCTATAATCAGAAATAGACAATGGGTCCGTCGACAAGCATGGTTACAAGAAATTGAAATACTTGGTAGCGCTGCCAATACATCAAATCAATTTGTAGATGTAGAAGAAAAACAAGGTATCATTTTTATGCTAATTTTCTAATTAAAAGACTATAAAAGAAAAACAAAAAGATAACTATCTTGTATTATTATACTCACAATATTAATTCTTTTAATTTTAATGATAGAACCAACCAATAATGAAAAGAAATCAGAAGAATCAGATATCATGGATATTGATGTAAATGTATCTAACATTACGGCAAATGAAGACAGTAACAAGCAAATATTCAATGATAATGAATTCTGTGAAATAGTTCCTTCCTCTTCCGAAGAAGATATATGCATAATTGTTAACAAAGAGTCTGAAAAGAACATTGACAAAACAGTTAAAGAAAGCGATGAAACAATTTCAAAAGATGAATCTATTGATTTCGATAATTCAGATTATTGTGATTCGGTAACAACAAATACACTTAACGAAAGTGACAAATCTGATGTACAAAAACAGTTATTAGTTCTACCAGACAGCGACTCAGAGGTAGAAAATTATCTGGAAAATGTCAAACCAAGAATTGAAATGGAAAGTTTTCCAGTTATGGAATCCTTACATATGTCTTTTGAAGAAACATTTTTCCTTATGTTCGCTTTAGATTGTCTACAACTAATACATTTTGATGGTTCTTTAATGGATATTCATAGCGCTTGGTTCTATTTTTGTGAAGAAGATAAAAATTTTATACAAAAATATGTTGTATACCATTATTTTCGAAGCAAGGGTTGGGTTGTTAAATCAGGCCTTAAATATGGAGGAGATTTTTGTCAGTATTTACCTATCTCATGTAATTTAGGCAAAAATCTTAATATACATGATCTTATAGATATAAATTATTTTTAAATTTTTATCATTTTAGTATTGTACAAGCAAGGGCCATCGTTTTATCATGCCTCTTATATAGTTATAATAGATGTTGTGGATGCAGATTCATTAACTACAATTCCTAGTAAATCTTCTCGAAAGACGAGCTGGAGTAATTTAATTGGATTAGATCGTTTATCTGAATGCGCTGCCAAGGTAATATACATAAATTATAAGTAATAAAGTTTGTATGCCTCTATTATTAATCTCTCAATTAAGGAATACTGATTTTATTCTTAGGAAATATTATTTGCCCAAGTTTTGTGGCCTTCATCGATCTCTTTAAATTCTGGTCCATCGAATCCACATATGTTATCTGAATTCACAGTAAGAGAATTATTATGGAGGCGATGGAACCCAAAACATAATCAAGATGTAATGATCGTAGAAGAAGAAGAGGACGAAGATTCGTGTTAAGATTAGTTTTTATGTCATTTAAAAAAGTAAAAATCTATATTTTCCATCTCATTTATTTCTTATAAATTAAACTTTGTACTTCATTAAAATATCATAAATAGTCTATGAATGAATTCAAAATTCATTAATTAACTTTATTTAGCGTTAATAAAATAATAAGTTTATAACTAATTAGAACTACATATCTTTTAAAGTTGTATTTCAATACGATTACAAATAATTTAATACTATCTATTTACAATCCTGAAGGATCAAACTAAAAAGATATTATTTCCTTACATTATATTACTTCGATTGTTCTTTTTCGATGTTTCGTAATTTTTTAGATACATTTGTTTTTCTATATTCGCTTCTTTCTTGGAGGTATATTTGTTTACATTCCTCTTGAAAATCTTTGTCGTGAAACCACCGTTCTAAGCAGCGCGTTAATTTATTATTTTCAGTTCTACATTTGAATACCATTGATAAATTGTTTTCTTGACAACATTTTTTGAATTCTGTGAAAAAAAGGAAGAAATATTTATATTGCAGTTAAAAGAATTAAACAATTAATTAAACTCAAGATTTACCTTCAACTTCTAAGAAACACTTTTCTGCTTTTGCCCTATCTCGTATTACTTGCGGTATAAGTACATTTAGTTCAACCTTTCTTAAACTTTTATCATTAGGATCACCTGTATAAAAATGTATTATTTTTAATAAGTTAACAAGATAATAATCATAATTTCTTCCTTACAATTTATTAGTTAAATTAATTCAAAGTTAACCTATTAAAAATAATTATTACATATAATAAATAAAAATAAACCTCATATTTGAATTGTAAAATATATATTAAAAGAAAAAAAAATATCTGACAATTTTTATCATTAGAATTACCTAATCCATGAGGACCTGATGAATATTTAGGTGGAAGAACGTGTGATGTATTTGTTTCCATTGCTTTAAAAAGTAGTTACTTCTAATTCCGCCATTGCAAGCATTGAGTACGCCGCGCTGGTGAGTGTGCATATTTGAGAATTGTCAGTTCATTAGAAATGGTTCTACTATCATTTCTTACGTGCAATTAAACATATTAAAAATTACATATTCATTATTTATTAACGTGGATTTGAATTATTTGGTATGTAAAATATTTAAAATTTAATCTTATAAGAAAAAATCTACAATAAAACAAAGATATTAGTTAACCTCTATTTATGCTATATCAATCTATGTAACTTAAAATATTTCTTAGATACTTGATTACAAATGTTTATTAATTAATTAAAACCTTTTAGATAAAAAAAAATGGACCGACTTCTAAGACTTGGTGGTGGTTTACCAGCCCCATTAAATCAAGGACCTCCCCCATCAGATGCACCTGTAGTTGATACTGCAGAACAAGTATGTCACTTGTATTTCATTCTAATTCGTTTATTCATTTATTATTTCATAAATAATAATATATTTCAAGGTGTACATCTCATCACTTGCACTTCTAAAAATGTTAAAACATGGTCGAGCTGGAGTACCAATGGAAGTAATGGGTTTGATGTTAGGTGAATTTGTAGACGATTACACTGTGCGCGTAATTGATGTTTTTGCTATGCCACAAACTGGAACGGTAATAACTGATGAATATATATTGTTTTAAATTAGTACCTTCACAGGTATGTATTATAGATGTATTCCTGTAATGTTTAGGGAGTTAGCGTAGAAGCTGTCGATCCAGTCTTTCAAGCCAAAATGTTGGATATGCTTAAACAGACTGGTCGACCAGAAATGGTAGTAGGTTGGTACCATTCTCATCCAGGATTTGGTTGTTGGTTATCTGGAGTAGATATCAACACACAGCAATCATTCGAAGCACTTAGTGAAAGAGCTGTGGCAGTTGTCATTGATCCTATCCAATCGGTGAAAGGAAAAGTTGTCATTGATGCATTTAGATTAATCAATCCTAATATGATGGCAAGTATTTCCCAAGAGTAACAAAAAAACAAAAAATTCTGATTTTATATAAATTGTATATAATGTTTAAAATATTTTTTCAGGTTCTAGGACAAGAACCTCGTCAAACTACATCTAATTTAGGTCATCTACAGAAACCATCTGTTCAAGCTTTAATACATGGCTTAAATCGTCATTATTATAGCATTAGTATCAACTATCGTAAAAATGAATTAGAACAAAAGATGTTATTAAATTTACATAAGAAAACTTGGATGGATGGTCTCACTCTTGCCGAATATTCAGAACACAGTAGACTCAATGAAAATATTGTTTCTGAAATGCTTGAACTTGCTAAAAATTACAATAAGGTATGTTCGATCGTATTTTTGAATAAATTATTTTACCTATGTATATAAAGAATAAAATACTACCTTAATGTATTATTTTTAAATTTGTAGGCATTGGAGGACGAAGAAAAAATGACACCTGAGCAATTAGCTATTAAAAATGTCGGTAAACAAGATCCAAAACGTCATCTAGAGGAGAAGGTTGATACACTTATGGCTACGAATATTGTACAATGTTTGGGAGCTATGCTTGATACAGTTGTATTCAAATAATTATTTCTTAAAGTACATATTGATATATGATCTTTAAAATAAATTTTTTTAAACAGAGATCCAAGTATATTTTGTATTTTTATGTTATATAATGTAATCGTTGCGTAAAGATATTTTTACATTTCATTTACGTTCTCTTTTTTCTTATAATATTGTTTTTATAAACTCATTTAAATAGATATTAGGTTTAAAAACATAATACAATACTCTCTTAGAAGTACAAATACGTCAGAACCAGAGACATACAAATTTTTCATCGAAAAGTTCAAGAACAATGATACTTATGTTATTACTAAATAATTGTGTCTCTACTCGAGTGTTTTTACATTAATTCTTTAGTATTTCCAGATAGAATTGAAATTAATAATATACATACAAATTCTACAATTGTAGACAAAACAAAGATAGTGTTCATAATTATGTAAATGAAAGGAACAACTGATTTAGAATCTATTTTGCATATCTCTGATTTAACAATAAAACTATGATAGAATGAAATTAAATGTCTATTAGATAAAATCATTTATGCAATATACTATGTAATAATTAGATCAATTATAAAAATTGGAAAAATATGATATGATACCTATACATTTCGTAGTAACTACATTTTATATGTATATATACACGAAACAATCTCAGTAAAATATTAATATTACATAACTCTTAATTAAAAGATTATCATAGTTATATTTTGAAATGCATCAAAAGATAGAAAATCTGATTTCGTATATCACTGAACATTATACGTACAAGATTATTCATTACGTGAAAAAATGTTTTTTATATTAATTTTATATTAATATTTGTAAGTATAATTACACCGTGTTATTTTTAAATTTACGTCATTATAAAGCGAATATCAAATTGTTCTAATCAGAATTTAAACGATGACATCTTTAAAATAAAATTTAAAAAGAATTCAAATAAAAGATTTTTCCTAATGACATATTTCGATATTATTTGCGGGATGTCAGCTTACGTTATTAGAAAAGATTTTCTAAAATTTTCAAAATAAGTAAATTAAACTAGCTTGAAAGTGTAGATTCTTTTTCCTTAGATTTCTTCTTTTTCTTTTTTTTCTTTTCTCCTTTTGTAGATACATCCTAAAGGAGCAAAAGAAAATTAAAATAAGAGTTTGATTTATTAATTAATAATTATATTAATCTATATAAACTATCTATAAACTATTTCAACGATAAATTTATTCTTACCATCATATTTTCATCTTCTATCTCTCCAGATATTATTATAGATTCATCATCTTGTTTTTTCTTTTCTTTTTTCTTCTTTTTTTCTTTCTTTTCTTTCTTTTTCTCTTTTGTTAATGACAAATCTTGCTCTTCGTCTTCCTTTTTGATTTTATCTATGTCCATAAGAGTTTCTGTAGGAGTTTCTGTAGGAATTTCTGTAGGAATTTCTGTACAAGTTCTCGTAGGAGTTTCTGTAGAAGTTTTTGTACAAATTGTTTCATCATATTTCCTTTTTTTACCAGCAACTGATCCATTATTTTCAAACTGCAAAAGTTTTTCCCAATTAATATTTACTGCACAATCGTCATTAGAATGCCCAATACATTAAAATTTAAAAAAATTACTTTAAATTCAGCTGTGGTAGAATAATCAGAATAATTCTGTAACCAATCAGATGGTGTATTTTCGTTAGGTTTACCGTGTTTATCCAAGGTACCTTGAATAATCATTTGTTTTTTAACAGATGCCTTAGGTCCCAAACCCCATTTCCTTGGATATGTATCTCTCTCCATGATAACACGTTTAATTTTAGCTGCTACTCCATGATCGCAAGCGCTAATTGTTGACGTCGTCATTAATGCTATAGCTATGAGTAACCAAATAAAATATCTATTGAAGTTTTATATTGAATGAATTCTGTAAGGCATTGGCTATACTACTTAGAAATAAAAAATTTACCAAGTGCTATAGCTTCGCCTTTTGTTGTTACAAGTACTATTTCTTGATTTAGTTCAATATCAACATCGTACATCAAAATGCCTGGTAACATTAATTTAGCTCCATAACAAATTGCATTTACCTATAAATGTATTTTATATTATAATATTATGGTATTCGAAATTACTACTTATCTTTTTGTTTTTAAAAATACTGAATACATACTGTACTATCTTTGACAATTATTCTTTTATGATTTACTAGAAGAGATTCCAGTGGCTTAATAATTCTTCTCAAATAAGATTCATCCCCATGATTATCATATAACCATTGAGCATCAAGAATATCATGCATAGTAACCATATTATCCTTTTCAGATTGAATACCAGAACGACATCTTCGTAAATCTTGCATCTGACAACCAGTACCCAAAAAAAGTCCAAGATGTACACATATAGTTCTAATATATGTACCAGCTTCACAATTTATATTAAAAACTCCCATATTACGCTCTTCGTCATAATCTAAAAACTTGCTATCATAGACAGTTCTAACACGTAATTGTCGTTTGACTGCAGATATAAGAGGAGGTCTTTGGAACAATGCACCACGTAATTTTTCTAATGCTTGTTGTACCTATGTATAACAACAATATTTATATATTGTTTTATTAATAATATATTTATAAAACTTACTAATGCATATATATGAATTTATATAAATAAATAAATTTACTTTTGCAACACTTTCAGGTGCTGAATGGAGTTTAAATACTCCCACATATTCTTTTCCTGCAGATTGTTGAGACTTTGCCAGTCTCGTTGCTCTGTCAATGCAAACTATCAAACATCCTGATACTTTAGGATCCAAAGTACCCGAATGACCAGTCTTTTCTACTTTCAAAATTCTTTTAATCCAAGCTACGACCTCATGTGAAGATGGATTGCAAGGCTTATCAAGATTAATAACACCCGCTTTGATATATTCTGATAATGAACGATTAAGCGGAGTAGAACCACTAGGTAAAGGAGTAAAATGTTTTGTTCGAGTTAACATTTTGTCAAAATTCTAAAATAATAAAATGTTATTTACATACCATCAAAGTAAGTATATATATATATCTAATAATAATATAAAACAAAATTATTATAAGCAATAAAAATATTTATCAACAAGCGGAATGCACAAACCTTAAATAAAAGTGGCCAATTTTCGCAATCTAATTTTACTTTTTCATTGGATGGTTTAAGTTCGCAATCCATAGCGACTTGCATCTCTCCAAGAGATTTCTTCTTATCCTTTTTCTTACTTTTTTCTAAAATACCAATATCAATAATAACTTCTTACCTAACCTTAATCTATGTTTTTTACAATTTACTATTTCACATATTAATGTTACAATAAATGATAGATAATCAAAATATATATAAAATAGTAATGATTTAACGACATATATATTGGTCTTTAAGAAAACAAATCTATAAAATAAACCAACTGAACGACCGGTTAAACACGTGTTTAGAGAAACATGCATTATAAAAGGCGCGAGAAACCGTATTATTTGTTGAACAAAATAATTTGTAAAAAATGACAAGAGTAATGTAAATAATTAACGGAGTTGAATTGAATATGATTAGAAACATAATTTAATTAAAATAATTACCGTTTTCTGCCATTTTTTTCAGAAATAATAAAATAAATCCAGGTAAGTTAAACACGTGATACAATAACGCGCAACCAACGCACATGCAGGCGTTAAGTAGGCAGGCTTCTATATCGATATCACGAAATCGATATATTTGTATCGATAAATATATCGATCGAATAATTTCGATTTACAATAATTAAATGTCTCAATAATAAAAAATGAAAGTATTATTTGAAAATATTCAGGAAATTTGTACAAGTGTTAACTGAAAAATATATTCTTTTGTTAAATAATTCATAAAAAATACATCCAAATTTTGTATTTTATTTGAATTTGTTTAATTCAAAATTTAGCTAATGATCTTTTTAATTTCCTATTTTTAGTACAGAGCGCGTCACTGTCCATGTTGTTCATTTACGCGGTAAACTGTGGAGAGTTAAAGTAAGAGTCGAAATAAATAAAATATTACAGATGCCGATTATCAATGCATCATGTTCGTACCAAACTTAGAAAAAGAATTTTACAATGCAATACAAAGAGATGTAAGTTCAATTGCTACGTTAATGTATATATTAAAAATAATAAATTAGATTTTCCTTTTAGGTTAAATTATAATAGTGTATCGTTTGCTTTATATTTTCAAATGTATGAATAAAAAATTTATGCATGCATTTATTGAAAGAAAAAATAATAATATTTAAATATGAAAAAAAATAAAATTTTGTTTAATTTTATTGATATTATGTAATATTAAGATTGAAATAATTGAATAAAATGAAATTAAAATGATAATGTATTCAAATAAATCACTTGTCTATTTTTCTTTTAATATAGAGATGTTTATTATTAGTAAACTTTGATGTAGATGCAATTTGTGCCTGTAGAATTTTGCAACAATTATTTAAAAATGATAACATATTATATACGCTTGTACCTGTGCAAGGTATACAAGATATGGTTCAGGCAATAGAAGAAAATTGTGAAGAGGTAAAGATAATATATTTTTATGTAATTCATTCGTTTCTATCAAACAAATTAATGTTATTTTTAAATTTAGGTAAAAAATATTATTATGATAAATTGCGGTGGCACGATAGACTTAGTTGAACTTTTACAACCTCCAGAATCTGTAATATTTTTTATAATTGACAGTCATAGACCATATGATTTGTGTAACATATATTCAGAATATCAAATACGTATTCTTGGAAAGCCAGATACTGAAGAAGACATTCCGGAGTATAATGATGTGTTCAGGGATGATTCAGTAAGTATTGTTATTTATTTTTATCTCAAATATTTTGGATGTAATAATATAGTTTTATTCATTATTTTTAGTCAGAAGATGAAAACGATTCAAACGAGAACTCCGATAATAGTGATAGTGAATCCAGAAAGACGAAAAGACGTAGATTAAATGAAGAAGATCTTTTAAAGAGACAAGAAAAAAGATTGTGGGCTGAAAACAGAGCAACTATTCTTTTTAATTATTCACAGTATAGCTATTATGGAACATCTGTATGTATTAAACTGAAAAAATTTATAATATACATATATATATTTATGAATATAATATATATTTTTACAATATCAATTTCTAGAGTGCAGTAATTATTTTTGAAATGGCTTGGCACATGTCTAAAGATAATTTGGACATGCTATGGTGGGCTATAATTGGTTCAACTGAACAAGCCATTCTTAGTAAAGTAGAATCACAAACAAGTATACTTGAAGAAGGTACACTCCAAGCACACGTTTCAAGATTAACTCATAAACAGGGTATAACTAACGATAAGCCATGTGAACAGAGTATAGTTAGAATAACTTATGATAAAGAGTATCCTTTTATATATATTATTTTAAATATAACAGAATATATAAAATGCAGTAAGTATTTTTCTGATGATATCCATAGTCTTCGACTTGTACTTTATCGTCACTGGACCGTCGAAGCAAGTCTTAGGCATTCGATGCCAACTGCAGTATCGCTACGGCTTTGGTCTATTAGAGGAGAACAACGTCTGAAAGAACTTTTAGCAGAAATGGGATTACCATTAGCGCAATCAAGACAACGTTTCACCGCTATGGATCTCACTCTTAGACATGAATTTAGGCAAATGGTAGAAAAATTAGCTGGAAAATACAATGTTGATAGAATTGTTGGTACTAGTTTTACATTACAATATGGTTATCGGTTTAAATACTGTGCATCGGATATAGTTTATGCGATGCTAGCATTAATAGAATCTACGGTGAGTAATTTTCTTTTTTTTTTTTTAGATTAAATCAAAAATTTAATTATTTATTTATATTTATATTCTTTATAGACAAAGGAAAGATTACCACAGCGTTGTTTCTTGGATGCATTGGATTGTTTGTCACGTAATAAAAAGGAACTTTTAGAAAATGGTATAGAGAAAGCAAAACTCATGCTTAGCAACATTTTTAAGACTGCACAAATCATATTAGAAATGAAGCAAATTATAAATACTGGTTCATTTCTTTATATTGTTGTTCCGGATGGTACTTTAGATAGTCGTTTATTTGCTCATCCTCATCCATTGACCATGCTAGCTCAATTCATTTTGAAAGCATATGTACATTCAACTAAAAGTAAGCGTGCACGTGAATGGCCTATGGTTGCAACAGCTTTGTTCAATCCTGAAGAGGGTACATGTCTGATAGTTGGCATTCCACCAATATGCGAAGATCAACCGCGGAGGTACTAAATATATTTTACTATTACTAATTGAAATAAAAATACAATGTATGTTTTTTTTTTTAGTTTATTTGGGAAGGCGTTTGAACAAGCAGCTAAAAATACAGGTTCATATATAGATGCGGATTACTTTGATACAACAGGCAAGATTTGTTTGATTAATATACATGTGTGTGTGCATTATTGTTCTATAATGTTTCATAAGATATTTTTCTTACAGTAGTAAGACTGAAAGTCGAAGAGAGACCAAAATTTTTTGATGCTCTAGCAGCACTTCTTACTTAATCATAAGATTAAATTAATTGTCAATGTGTTATAAATCATGTGAAAATTTTACAAAATATGACTATAAGAGATGCATTTAATATGTATAATTTATCTTCTTTATGTAACATTACACATAATATTATTTTAACATTAAGAACGCGCAAATGATTAGGTATTGTAATATATATATATATATGTACATTTGTATAGTTGTATATCATAAATAAGGCACTAGTATTTAGTGTGATTGGTATGAATGCAAATGAAGTGTATTTGTTGATCGAAAGTTTTAATTGACTTAACATACAAAAAACGTGAAATATCATTGAGGTTGAATTTATATTTAGTGTGTTTATATATTATTTTTAATATTATTGTAAAAGTAAAAATTAAAAAGAAAGAAAAAAAATACAGAAAACAAATAGCACAATAGATATTTATATTTATGAAAAAACAAATGGAAGGACAAGAGGAGTAATTAAAACACGTCTGTATCTAACATCAATTTATTATTAACAAAAAACAATAGATAATAAAAGATTGAACATATAAAATAATGTTTATGTCTTCTTCTCATAAGTATAAAAACTAAATAATTATAGGATGTTTTTGAAAGTCTACAAATGTTGCCTAATTGGCGTTTATTAAGTAATACATATAGTTATATATTAACGTATCCATTGTGCGTGTGTGCACTTAAAAATACAATTCGCTTGTTGTTTTATTTTGGGGCTATGATACAATACATAGTCTTTTGGTTATTTCTATATATAATTATAAGTGTGTGATTACAAACACAATTTTCACGCAAGGTCTTCTTTTCTTATGAAACGAGCTACTGCTACAGTATCACAGAGATGGATATAAACAGTGAAAAAGGGAAGAGGGGGCGATTTTCATCGTGGTTATATAATAATTGAACGTTCGTAGACTCGAGTGCTCGTTCATATATAAAAACAAATTTAATCAATTTAAAAATTTAACATACATATAAAAAGAAATTCAATTATAACGAAATAAAAGAAAAGAAAAAAAAAAGATATATTTCTACAACATATTGCGACTTTAATCATTGAAATATTATAATTATTATCATATAGCTGGCACAAGTAAATACTAAAAACATATAACAAGACATATATGTAATATATCATATTATTAATATATATGTCTTCTTAAATAGGCATGCATATTCTCGTTAGAATCTTTACACATAATATGAGGTGTTAGAAAAATGATACAGGTGTAAGTGTTGAGTGATATTATGTACGAATACGAATATTCGTTGTTTTTATTTTCTATCTCATAAATGGTCGCGTGTAATTTTGATAAGAGAAAATATTTTTCTTTAACGTTCAAGTATACAAATTGAAATTCTTTACATTTTTAGGCACAAATAGGTAGAAGAGTCTATTAAATGCGAATATTCGATGACTTATCGTTTGATAAAGTTTGTATGTATATATGTTTATTTTCGCATGTGAAGTTTTAATGGAAATTGATGATGCGATGATAAACGAGTGACTAGAACTTGTGCCAGCTTCGAATTCAGACTCGATATTTTATTTAAGCTACGAGCTTGCTTATTGCTTGATTGATTTGGTAACCACATCGTTAATTAGACACTTTGACACCATTCACATTTTTTGGAATCAGTTTGAAGATCGGTTTTGTTCAGGCTGTGACATTATCATTTTTGGGAGTCTTGTGTATCGTCACTATCTCATTTTTAGGTAGTTTGTCATTACGAAATCCATCGACGAATTGTTGTACAGAATCCACTGTAATTTCAGCACCGTCTTCCATTACCACATAAACTCCTCGTGGTATATCAATAGCTGTCAGAAGAGGTACCGCATCGTCCAAACCAACAAATTCACGAAGAATATCCGACGTTTCGCACTGTAGAAATAAATTAAATAAGAAGAATTAGAACATAATATTAATAATAATATAAATCGCATAACATTTGAATTTTGCCATATTTACATCTAAGGCTATATAAAATTGTAATATGCCATCAGGATCGTCATAATTGGGATCATAATCTGGACGATCTCTTCTGTAAGCCTCAGCGGCAGGTAACAATACACTTTCTGCGAATTGTATTTCACAATCATCTCCCTCTGCAAATGAATATATAATGTAATATTATTTTATTTATATATATATACATATATATTACATAGACAAGGTGTATCCGGATCAGACTATAACTTTGTTTCTTTTTGCAGGCAGACAAAAAATGTTGCATTATTTAATCAAGTTAATATATCATTCAAATAATGCGGATTTTTGCAGAAGTGCAACTGCAGCAAATTTTTATGGATTCACAATGATAACACCGTATTTGGTTTAAACGTATCATTATTTAATATTTATTTTCATGTTTACTTACCAACAAAGAGTATGATCGCCGGTGCATCGTGCAACGAGGTCGCATATTTTTCTGTTAAAATATTAACCAATCGACTGGTCCATGGAAAATTCTAAAATGCAAAATTAATAGAACCATGGGTATGTGAAAGTATTATATTATAAAAAAAAAAAAAAGATAAGAAAATCAAGATTAATTAAATGTTTACCAATCCTTCAGGATCCTCCAATAACTCGGCTCTACCATCGAGTGTAATAATATTATCCCGTGGATCAAGAATTACCAAAGTAGGTATTGCTTGAACATCTAAAGCTCGAGCCAATTTTCGACGTCTTTCTTCCTGACTAAATGGTATCCTAAGCCAGGGCATTGTTTCTGTGTAAGTATTGTAGGATTCCTCGCTTCTGCAATGAGGCAATAAAATGTAAGAAGCCATTTTAAATCCACGAAGCTATTCATTATCACAGGATAACAAAGACATTAAATGAAAAGAAATGATTTTACCTATCGGAGCTCACGAAAATGACTTCAAAATCATGTCCTCTTTCTCGGATTCGTTGGTAAGTATCCACGAGTTGTGGTGTAAATGCTTTACAAGGAGGACACTAAAATGTGAAGATAAAAGGCTAATGTATTATATACTTAAATATGCATCATTTATATTTCAGAAGCACTTTAATTCAAATTTCTATGCGAGAAGAAAAATTACACAAAGTAAATATAAATTAAATTTGAACGATTTATGTTTTTTTTTCTTTTACTTATAAATATTGCAATAATTTTTTCTTTTTTCCCTGTTACTGACCCAATGAGCACTGAAGTAAACACCCTTGAAACAATGTCGAAGTTCCTCATGTAACATTGGCTCGTTGCTGTCGCGAGTACCACAAGGCAGCAAAGGTCCATCTTCCAGGGCAGCTTTTGGATGTGGTGGTTTCCAAGGGAATTCGGCGCCAGTAGGATCGGCAATAGTTCGTTCTACACCACCCCTTGTCACGACCGAACCATTCGAACCCTCGAGTAAAATCAACGTGGGCACTCCTGCCTTTATCCGATACCTTCTCGTAAGCCTAGTCTAGAAAAAACATTGCTGATCATTCATCTCGTACGAGTCTCTTTCTTCTTTCGTTATCACTCAATAGGTTTGGTTTTTTATTTTTATTTTGTGTCTATCATCATTATCGATCATCGAGAGTAAAACAATTAATGAAAAATATGTTCGTTTGATAAAACGGCTTACTCAGAAGCGTTAAGTTTTTTAAACTCAATTCCATTAATTGCAATGCATTTTACTGTTATTTTGTAGAAGTAAAGCAGTTTAATGAGAGTGAGTTGTTAAAGCTTCAAAATTGTTCGGAGGAAAACAATGACCGTACGGATGCCTTAACGGAAGTTTCGAAGATCATACGAGGACTGATGGATGGATGAATGGATACATATCCGATGAAATGCGAGAAGAAAAACTCATAGTTGCGTTCCATGAATTGCCCTAATTTTCTCTTTCCCGTTTTTCTCCTCATCTGTCTTTTCTTACTTTTTATCTCTCTGCTGGTTGGATAAAAAGCAAAAAGAATTGAAGAGGAGGTAGAAATACGTTGAGATTTATCGACTGTGCGAGGCTTATCACGAACGAACAGCGAACAATGCACAAATCATACAAGGAAAAGAAAAAAAAGGAAAAAAAAGAGATAGAAAGAGATAGAAAGAGATAAAGGAAATGTTCGATTTGGTCTCCTACCTTGGTAGTCTTAAAAAAACATTACAACCCTAAAGGTAGTAGGTAGTGTAAAGGATAAGGAGTATAGAAAAAAGGGAGCGGTGGTGTCTGCCAACAATGAGTACTGTCTCTCCTGTCAGGTCGCGTGATTACAGCCAAGGATGAGAAGAAAAAGGAAAAGGGCTCTTCTACAATACTAGCGACGGATAAAATGCCAAAGGGTCTACACGTTCTTCGAGTAGACAACAACAACAGTAACAGTAACAGAACAGCAACACCAGCAATAGTCACGGCAGAAGTAGTAACAGCAATAGTAGTAACAGCAGCAGTAGTAACAGCAGCAGTAGTAACAGCAGCAGTTATAGAAGCAAGAAGAGAACTTCGTAGACACGATTCAATCTGCAATATTAACAACTTGAAGTTCACGCAAATCGATCGAAAGTCTCGTTACATCTCGGAAGAGACATTTAATATTAATTAGCAGAGGCTCTCTACAACTTGACGCGAACTTTCGAATAAAACTTTACTGAAATACAGCTAAATTTGTTTAACCGAAGGATTAGACTCTAGATTTTCAATAGAAAGTAGCAAGTAAAATACTATACTTTAAAAAAATATAATCTAATCAAAGTATTTTTCTTCAAAGTACAATATTCTTAATTTAACCATGCAAAAGATTAGTTACTTCAACGTTGCTTATCTAGATGATAAAAATACTGAATATAATAGAAAGAAAAAGAGAGAGAATCATGAAAGAATATCATCAGAGTCTCAGGGACCACTCTTACAACTATCGTCCTCTGGGATCTCTTCTTCCCTTTACGCTCTTTCGCGTACTTGGAAGGATATGCGAAATTTCCTAGGGCGATATGGGTGCAAGGAGAAGAAGGGTGTTAGAGAGAAAGAGAAAGAGAGATAGAGAACCGATATAAGGCGGCAAGAGGGTGAACTCGAGGCACCAAACGTGCGACGGCGTACGTTATCGCGACCCTCTCTTTCTCTTTCTCTCCAACACACTTACACCGCGAAGGCATTACTTTTCTCTCCCCGTGTATATTTCCATAGCTGCTACTGCTACTGCTACTGCTACTGCTGGTGGTGATAGTGATAGTGGTGGTGGTGGTGGTGCTACTGCTGTTGCTCTACTCCGTTTGTCCGTACCGGAGTATATACGTGTACAAGTTGGTTTGCCGCCTCCGTCTCGGCCGGTCGATAACGTGTACGTCCTCCCTTGCTGTTGCTGCCGCGAGCTCGACGGTGCTATCGTTATTTCCCCCGACAGTGTGGATGTCCCCTACCACCTTCTCTCCTCACTCACCTACCCCTTCTCTTCTTCTCACCCTTTCTACCCCTACAATTTTCTCTCTCGCTCTTTCTCTCTCTCTCTCTCTCTTACTCATTCTTTCTTTCACTCCAACACTCTCACGCGCCAAATAACTTCTTTCTTTCTCTTTCTCTCTCTCTCTCTCCCTCTATTTTTTGCTCGTGCCATTTGCCACATCGCGAGATCAGCAGAACGGGATAGAAAGAGATAGAGAGAAGCAGAGTTAGAAGGGTGGGAAACGGATCACTGTTGACTCGTTCACGCTCGTTCAAACGTCTCTCCTCCATGTAGATATATACACGAGATCGCGGTCGACCAACGGCGACGGCGATAGCGACGACGGCATCGACGTCGGCGTCTCCGATGGACGACGTAGACGGGGAAAGACTCACAAGCGAACGACTGAACGATGCTCCTTTGATCGAGCTCTTCTTCTTTCTTCTTCTACTACTATTTCTACTTTTATTTCTTAGTTTTCTTCTTTTTCATTCTACACCCATTTTTCCTCGACGGACATTCGACGTAATTCCAGCCACAATAGACTCTCCTTTATATTTTTTTTTTCTTCCTTTTTTTCTTTGTCTGTCTTACTCATCCTTTGCTTTCTATTTCGATCGATAGCGATTATGAAAGTCGCGTTTATATTAGAGATGAGAGAACGAAATAAAGGGATCGACGTGAAAAGGTATTCTCAATAAGAAAGACAGAGAGGGATAGAGAGAGAGAGAAAGAGAGAGAGAGAAAGAGAGAGAGGGTATTTTCCACGGTAATGTTTAGTATAATATTTGTGTAGAGAGTCGATACTGTAACAGACACACGGTTATGTGGCTGCTACCCTCCAAATATCCCTTTGTTCTGTATTTTCCTTTTCTAATAATATGTAAAATATCTTTTCATGAAATTCTATTTATCTTTCACGGCGTATATCGTATTGTTAATATCGTCAAAACTATTTTGCATATTAGATTTTATCTAATTAATGTTTTTAAAAAAAAAACGAAACCTAAAAACCGAAAGAACGCTAAGTAAAAAACGTAAAATAAGGGATTAACTTTGATAAGACTTTTCCTGAGTATATATAAGTAACATTATTGATATATATATATATATATATATATGTATTTGTATGTATAGTACGCGTCGGGCCCGAAAACGGTGCTCTTCTCCTTTAGAAGTTCTTGCGCTTGGTGGCTTAGGGGGTCTCGCTTTGCGATCTAGCGATCTCGCGCGTACTCCACTTTTCCTTTGGCCACCAAAGCCGAGTAGGTCGCGTGTAATCTAGACGGAAACGTCGGTCTGAAAGAACGGGGGTGAGGGAGGGATGATGGTGGCGAAAGGGGTTGCTGCAAAGAGTGAGCGAGCGAACGAACGAACGAGTAAGTGAGAAACAGAGAAAACGAAAGAGAGAAGGAAAATGCATCGCTGGTAAAAACACAGAACCTCTGTGTGTGGGCACTACCTCAAAGTCTATCTAAATCCAAACGGTCCTTTATCTTTTCTTTTTCTTTTTTCCTTCTTCTTTTCTTTTCTTTTTTTTCCCCTTAAAGCTTCAGTCGTTTACGTGGTAAAGAACCTGCACATACCGCCATTTCTCTCTCTCTCTCTCGCTCTCTTTTTCTCTCTCTATCTCTGTCTCTTTCTAACTCTTCCTCTCACTCTCTCTCTATTTCTCTACATCTCGATTTCTTTCTTTATCTCGGCAGGCGAATGAGAAAGCTATTTGCGGAAGATATGGGTCGGCTACCCCGAATGGGAAAGACTGCCGTTGGCTGTTGCTGACTGCTGTTGCTGCTGCTACTGCTACTGCTACTATTGCTATTGCTATACTGATATACTCCTACTGGCGCTGGGCTGACTCTTTTTCTCAAACGTTGATGCAAAGCAAACGTATGTATTATATACATATCTGTATATATTCGCGTGTATATATACATCATGCGTATACATATTCAACCAGAACGTTTTAGTACCAGGGTCCAAGAAGATGAACGCGAGAAACAACGCGTGGGCTTATTACGCCGTTGAAGAAGCGACCGTCGTGCTAGGTGGCCCTACGACATTGCAAGCTAGTTTGATAGGGAGACTGGATAAGCAGAGAAGGAAACGAGAGAGAAAGCTAATCGACGAGGACATTCATATGAGATAAATTAAACTCTATCTCGCCTTACGTGTTTCGTTCACTTTTACTCTCACAAATTTCATTATGTTTTACGTAAAAAAAAAAAAAAAAAAACTTTACGACAATGATAATGAATCTAATTAGATTCATTAGACGATTATTATAAATTCTTTCTAATTTCTTCAAAAACAAAATATATCGATTAATCCTTCAATTAATAAAACCAAATCAAATTTGATCGGAAAAGAAAAAATTGTTGCTTGTTCTCAGCGAATTTTTAAATTGCAATATCGCAAATCTTGATTGAGAAGAATTGAACGTATGAATAAATTTAGGGTGTAATTTAGAGAAAAGATTCGTGAGATTATTCATGAAGATTCTCTCTCTCTCTCTCTCTCTCTTACTCTCACTCTCTTTTTTTCTCGAATCCTTCATATTTCGAATCGGTTTTTTTTCGTTTTCTAGATAAAAAGAGTGCATAAAGAGGAACGTTCATTTCTATAATGAGAAAGGAAAAAAGGAGACGACGCGATCTTTCTCGTCATTTTTCTTTCTTGTTCTCTCTCTCTCTCTCTCTCTCTCTCTCTCTTTTTCTCTTTCTCTTTGTCTTTCTTCAATCGTCGAATCTCATCGCTTCGGTGGATATCACCGGACGACGAGGAGACAAGGACGACGAGGAGACAACGACGATGACGACGACGACGACGACGACAACAACAACGAGGAGAAGATATATCAGTGTTGGCTTTATTTCTCGGTTTAATAATTTGAAATGGAGGAAAAAGTAGCGGAGTGGAGAGGAGACTACTTGACATTAATTGCGCGCGAACCATTACCGTTAACTTTCTTCGCGTTTCCGATCGAAGAAGCCTCAGCATACATATGCATCGAGGTGAGCCAATAGCCAACCTCGAGTGCTCCTGCTTCGTCAAACGATTTTTCCCAAAGGAAAAATTGTCTCGGACGATGAAGACGAAGAAAAGAAAAGAAAAGAAAAGAAAAAGAAATAAAGAGAAGGAAAGAAAGGAAATTAAAAAGGGAAAGGATAAATCGTTTTCCTTGTTTCTTCGTAAGAGGGGATATGTTTTTATTTAAAAATATACAGAAATATAATGTAAGTTCAAAGATTTAGCCACTTTCGTCAAAGGTACATATAAAGAGAAAGCGAGAGAGAAAAAGGTCAGCCTTTTTAGCAACCCTTCGACGATGATTTCGCGTGTACCGTTCGTTTGGGGAGACTTTAATAAAATCGCTCCGAAAATAGTGTAGTACCCTGTAGGCAGTTTCAACGGCGTGCGTGCGTGCGTGCATGCATGCGAGCGAGCAAGGAAAGTAAAAGAAATACAAGAATAAGGACTACTCTCGTGTGTACCTTGGCGTGTCACACACGAATGTATTGTCGCGTGTGATCGTTACGTTTTTTTCGTTGGACACACATATACTTTTAAAGTAGTTTCTAGAAATATGATGGAAAGTCTAGAAAATAATTCGGAAAGATTTCGACGCTAATGTAAGAAAAAAAATAAATATTTTAAATAAAAGGTGCATAATAATTTATATCGTATTTGGATGTTCCTCTTTCATTCTTCTCTACTTTTGATACTATGTATAAGATTTTTAAGAAGTATACAACGGTAAAGTAAACATATTTGCAATAAACGAAAAACTGAACTCACTTTCCTCTCGTAATCCCGATTAGGTACGGCCAACCAGGGTAAATCCGCAACGTGATTACGAAAGCTTTCCTCGAAGTCAAGAACGTCAGCCACATTACTCCAAAGCACCACGTGTACGACCTCGAACCTTTTTCTCCTTTCCCTTCCCTTGTTCGTGTTCTCGGTCGACGCGCCGCTGGCAAGAGAAATAGCATCCGTTCCCGCGTGCACCGCGTTGACATTCGCATAAAGTTCAACCAGCTGACGCGTGAAATCGTCGCAGGTTGCACCGGGATTGATGAAACTGAAGTACACACCGATAACATCGCACGCGGTACTGCCGTCCTCGTCAATTAAAGAACCGCTCGCGTCACATGGCTTCGTGTCCTGGGAATTAATCTGATTGCAACGAGTCAATTGCTTACCGAATAATCTATGTTGCCAACATATTGGCCGGCCGTTATTAATCGACTTTTTTGTTAGCTCCAACGACGCCAAAGACGATTCGCTCGACATAAGCTGATCGCCAATGCACGCGGCCGCCATACCGCGCGCCTCTTATAATCCACCAACTATTCATTCACTCGGCGACTATGCGCCGACCAAATTGTCGATATTTTGTCAAAAACAACCAATAATAAAATAATATACTACCATTATTTGTACAGTGCCAAAAACAATGAAATTTTAAAATAAATCCAACCCCTGGAACAAATGCGGAACGCTGCGGAACCCCGACTGATTCACGTTTCGTTGACTCGCGTTGGGCTCGGCGCGCTCTCCGATCGAACCCGAGTTCATCCGAACCGCCGCCAAATTTACCGCCCAATGCTCTTCGTACCAACTCGGCGATACCCGGCGAGTATAGTACACATTTTCCCCCTACGTGACGCTCTTAACCGGCGTCTCGAAAAGATAATACTGATGGCTGATTTGCATTATTCTTATGTATTACGTATACGCTTTCATATCGTGCGATAATCGTATAATATTAGTTTATCCTTGTCATTTATCACACTTTTATTTACCTACCTATGTAAGAGTTAACTTTTCAACCATTAAATACAGATAAGAGGACAAACTAACTCTTTTAACAAAATATTAAGTTACTACTCGGAAATTCTAGTTATATAAGAAAAATTTCATAGTTCGTTAAAAGAAGTTAGAATAGGCGAAACGATTTATACATATACGTATTATACATATATGATACGTGTGTCGTATATGCACTGTATAACACTTTTTAATCTTGTATTTACATATATATGTACATATATATATAGATATACATATACATATATATATATAGATATACATATATATATTTTATTTATAGTAAAATATTAAGTTTTTCTATCATATTCAATTAATAAATTAAATATATATGAGACTTATTAACGGTAAAATTCATAGTTAAATTAAAGTTAAAGTTATGCAATTGAATTAGTGATAAGGAGTTTTTGCTTTAGCGAGGGGTAATATGTGATACGTTCTCGCATAACTAACATAAGTCCAATCGTATGTTTGTAGCTAAGCTATAACGTCAAGTGATCAATGGAACATCGCACATCGCGCTCGCGCCGTTGCACATTTCTTTGCTCCGAGTATAGAATTCCAAAGCAGCAATTCCTTCGAATGTTTATTACAATTACGTTAACGTAAAATCAGTTTACTGTAAGTGAATAATAATAATTGGAATAAATAAAAAAAAATGACGGTATCCGCTTCCTTTTAGTCCATTATTCTCTTTTAAAATATCGATTTTGTGATATAATTAATTTGTGTAATGGACCTACCTGTCATATAGACACACAATCATTTTTTTTAACAAGAAAAGAGGTAAGCTATGATAATTTAACTAATAAATATTAAAATTGTTATTTTTTAATGTAACTTTGTTGTATTAAACGAATTCATTTAGATAGCAAATATTTAATCAATATTCTCGTCAGTACTTTTACATTGCATTCCAATTTTCATTGATCAACTTTTTGTCCTCTTAATTATTTCAATTTTTTACAACGTCATGACCTTAAAATATTCAATATCGAGTTTAAAATTCATTTTTGTATCCCTTTAAACATGCTTTTCGTCTATACTAATATTTTATTTTATATTTTTAATATAATTTTATTTCTAAATAGTTATTAAAACAAAAAGTCAATCATCTTTAGTTTAATATTTATTGTTTTGTTACTTTAAACATTTAATGTCCAGTAGAACTTAATATTTGTAATATATATATATGTACAAATTTGTTAATTATTAATTGTAATTTGCATTATAGATTAATCATGAGTTCGCAACCGATAGTGGTACCTGGTGGGGATCACCGAGTACAATCAGATGCTCATTCTGTACCTGCTGGAGGATGTTCTTCTGATACGTTTAAAACTATGACTCCGCCTAATGTTAGTCGGTCACTGAGCAACCGTAAGTGTTAATTCTTGATATTAGTAAAATGAATTTCAAGGTAGACGATAATTAATGAAACACATATTATTCTATAAAATATCTTACCAATCAATAGATATATTTAAGATGATGCTCTTAAGTTTAAGATCATTTTAACAATAATATTGTATTAAAACTTTAAATAGAATATAATTTTGAATATATCTGTTCCATATGTAATATTTCTGTATATTCGAAAAGTACAAAAACCGGTTGCACGTTATGTGTGTAATATTTCTTATCTATGATGTTCTTTTTTTATATCTCAATGACATTTGATCCCTTTCTAAGTAATAACATACATTTGAATTATGCATGTTCATGCCAAGAAATCCTAGGTATCATTGGTCTGTTCTTCATAAGCTAGATTATGCAATATTTTTTTTTTATTAGTCATAACAAATATCTAGGCTGTTCATCATTGGAAAAATCCTAATCTATTTAGTTTATCTAATATATATATTTTAGAAAAATTTATTTTATTAATATAAATTAATAAATCATTTTCTCCTTCTTCTACTTCTTATTCTTTTTTTTATATTATGTTTAAAAATTATATATCTTTCTTAGATCTTGGTTTAATGTTCTACTACATTAAAAATGTTTATCAATTATTTTTTTTCTGGTCATACTATCAATGTTAAGATTATAGACTAAACGTAGTTGTAGTAGTAGTAGTAGTAGTAGTAGTAGTAGTAGTAGTAGTAGTAGTAGTAGTAGTAGTAGTAGTAGTAGTAGTAGTAGTAGTAGTAGTAGTAGTAGTAGTAGTAGTAGTAGTAGTAGTAGTAGTAGTGAGAGTAATATTAGTAGCTAAACTTCAATTGTAAGATACCCTTGACATTACAAATATAGTAATGTCTATTGTAAGTTTTTTCATTAATACAAATTACATATCTACCATAGGTAATCAGAATATTAGAAAGAATTGAAATCAATAAACAGTTATTTCCAACAAACTACATTTACATTATTGTTAAAACACTTATTAGATATCTCATAGTATCACTATATCATATTATTTTAAATATTATTCCATCCATCTAAATTATTCATATCTAATAATTTAGAACTAAATGTTAATGTAATTGTATTTTTGATGATCCAAGAAACACACTATATACTACTTTATATTATATATAATTGTTGTAATAGATACTAGTTGCTAAAATATTTATTATTGTAATTTAAGTTTTATGTAACTATATCATGTTAAAGAAAGAAAAAGATAGAAATTTAAAGAAAGTTATTTTATTTCACTATAAATGTTACAAGCGTAGTTCCTGTTTTTACGAATTAATTTGTTCAGAGATTCCACTTTCTTCAAGTGGAATTTCGTGAAGTAAAAACTACACGCATATTGTTATTATTTGTATGTGTATATAATTGATATACAATACATTGATTGTAATCCTATTATTATATAAAATGATATAATTATAAAAAAATATTGTTATATATTTCTATGGACTTCTATTTTTTATTTTGCATTCTTTTGACTACTTCATCCTCCTTATACGAGAATGGCAATTATTTTTTGAAAATCTTGAAATAGAAATGCTCTCTGGTTGAAAATGCTGTTGGCTTTTAAAATGATTTGCATGGTATTTAATGCATGTGCATTTCGATATTTAATAGCTTGTCAAAAAATGTATAATAATTATTAATATTAAATTTAAAATGTATTATACAAATAACTATATTTTATTATTATTGCTTATGGATGAGATAAATAATGTAATTAGCGTTAGTTTTGTATTCTTAGAGTACTAACCATAATAATATTTATGTAGTTACAATAGATTTCGAAGTAAAACTATATCATTTTAATCAAATCAATTGTAAAGTTTTGTAAAAATTTTCATTTATTTTATAACTTATTACGTATGACATAAAAACTTAGTATTTGTAAAATGGTATAAAATTACTAATGAATATTGATTGATAAATGAAAGAACCTAAATATATAGAACCAGTGGATCAACAACTTCGTCCAAGCAGTGTCCATGTACAACCAATGCCTTTAACAAAACTTCCATCAACTGAATCACTTACAACAAGTGTAACTATTACAACTGGCCCAGTTCCTGTATCTCCAGGTATAATTAAAAAGATATTTTGCAGATATTATAATGTCATACTTATCAATAATTCAGCATTTATAAGATGCTTTTTTATCTCTTGTTTAATATCACCAATTAGGTTTTTTTTTATTCCAATTAATTAGGTACCTTAGTTAACATATGGCTTATATAAAAACACGCATGTGTCTTATGTAACATTTTAATTGATTATATATACACATATATAGATATTTATTTATATTAGATTATTAAGTACGAAACGTCAGATTATTCTGATTACTTTCAGTTCGAAATCGGACATTTTATACTTAATGACCTAATACTTATGTATGAAAAATGCATTGCAATACTTAAAGAAATATTTATTTTCATCTTTTTATCTTATGCTTGATTAAAAATGCTCAGTAAAAAATATCAAGCATGTATGAAAAATGCTAAATTTGTTAATGCTTAGTCCAAACACATTTTTCTCTTTTATATATTTATTTAGGTAATTAATAAGTAATTAAAATAGATTATAAAAAAACAACTTTAAGTTTTATAATAAATTCTTATTTTACGAAAATAATATTACTTTAAGTATATGGGATATACAACATTGTTGTTGGTGTTTCTCCTTTTTATTAAATTAAAATGTTACATTTAAAAATATCTTTAAATAACATGTAATATTAAGTGTGTACAATTTTTAGAATTATATAAAAGATATATAAAATTATGTAAATCATCAAGAGAAAATTCCTTTTATAAAAAATCAGTAAAATAATTATTAAAATTAATGAATTTATACAATAATTTGCGTGATACATTGAGAGTATAACTCAAATGATGAATATTGTAAAATTCAATCATCTTATTAAAGTATTAATGTTTTTTTACTGTCACACACACACACACATATTAATATGTCTTTTATTGTACTTTAATGCTACAAGATGTAAAAAAAGTTTGCACTGTAAATGTAATTTATATATTATTATATTACGTTAAGTTAGGTAACAAAAAGAAATGTAATTAATATACTAAAGATCATCAAATGTAATCAATTTAATGTAAAAAGTGTGTTTATAAGTTATAATATCATATCACAACAATCATACTACATTTATCAATTAAAACTCGTTACTCACTTTGTGCGTATAAAGATTACAAATTTATATATATGCGTTTGCGCGTGCACGTGTGCGATACACATTTGTATCAATAAAAAGTGTAAGTTTTTATATAACATGAAAATATTATTCACCTATTTTAAATTTGTGTAATAAACAAGAATCATGTTAACAGATTAATGAAGATTATTGATACACGTCTCATCTAAGTAAACTTTTTAAAAATTATTATTAATATTAACACTTAGACAACAGAATCATTAAATTATGTTGTGTCAATCATTAGATCATTTTTGTTTTAATTAAATAAATGTTATTGAAATTTATATCAAAAATAAATCATGATATATGATGTATAATCTGTTTTAGGCTTATCTATGATGGGAGAAGGCAGTCAAAAAACAGACAATACATCGGATAAGGTATGCATTTATTTACATATTTGAGATATTTATTACAACAGTGAATAACCAAATGTGTTAATTTTAATTTATGCATATCACTTTTAGTCTATGGATTCCTGTAAGTTGACACGAAAGGAATCTTACAAAGCACAGAGAAAAAATTATCGAATAGAAAAGAAACGTGTTGCTAATGAACTTCTTAGTTCGTTCAAAGATCCAACCGTTATTGTAATGAGCGATTGGCTTAAAGTTAGAGGAACATTGAAGAGCTGGACTAAGCTGTGGTGTATTCTCAAACCCGGCTTATTATTATTATATAAAAGCCCAAAGATAAAGGTAAATGTTATTAATTTTTTCATTTTTACTATATTTTTACTTTATACTATAAGTGTTGAAATGTATTGAAAATATTGCTAACTCACATAATGTGTGTGTCATCGAAATATAAATATTACAGAGTAATCATTGGGTTGGAACTGTTTTGCTAAATACGTGTCAAGTAATAGAGAGACCTAGTAAAAAGGATGGATTCTGTTTTAAACTTTTCCACCCTTTAGAGCAATCTATTTGGGCTCCTCGAGGACCAGAGAATGAAGCAATCGGTAAATAAATATAATATTACTTTTTAAATAAATTTTCATTTCAGTTCTAATAATGCAATTATTATTTTTTATAGGAGCTGTGGTACAACCTTTACCAACTTCTTATTTAATCTTCAGAGCACCCTCTCAAGCTGCCGGTAAATGCTGGTTAGATGCACTTGAACTTTCTTTAAGATGCTCTTCGTTAATTGTACGTTCAACTAGTGCATTGCCACGTTCTTTACAACATGATGCAACGACTACTCACGAAACTCAATGGAGTGAGGCAGATTATGAAAAACATTTTGATGAGCATGGTGAGTTTTATTGATTAATTTTATGCATGCTTGCATATTTATTGTGATTATAGAAAATTGATTATTTTTAATAATATACATATTTACGTAAAAAATAAAAAAATGTATATTTTGAATATTGTGTATAATAATAACAAGTATTTTTTGGGAAGTTAGATAAAAGGCTTTAGATAGTTGCTATAAGTAGTCATTTATTCTCACATATAAATTATTTTCACAGAATATTTTATCTGGCGTTTCTTTTCTTTCTTTTTTTTTTTAATTATTAACAATTAAACAAAATATAAATGCAGAAATGTTAAGAGACATAAAGTATGCAACATAAATCATAATTTCTCATAATTATTAAAAATCATAATATTATTATATTATGAATTAAATCTAATCTCATAATCAGAATATATATATATATATATATACTTATTTTTCTGTTTATAATCAAATTTATAACTAAAAGATAATCATTACAAGTATAATTTAAAAATAACATGCTTTTTTAATGATCAGAATTCAATTTTACTAATCCATTTAAAATTATTATCCTTTCCTACTCTTCTTCATTACCCTACAACAAATTGGAAACACTTGCTTCATAATCCAGTAGTATGTTTAAGCCAATATGCACCTAAAACACCCACGACACCTCAAAGGCGCTTATTGTCATGTCCACAGCCAATCTCACCTGCTATAGCGTGTCATCCTAAAAGTGTTTGTCCTTCACCAACTCCAATGTTTCAACAACTTTACCATGCAGTTGCATACTGGGAAAAACAGTTTCGCGATAAATCTCCTACACCTACTACAGATCCAGAGATTATTGTGTCTTCAGTTTCTATCGATGAACCAGATGGTGGGGGTACTCATCCTAGCATGTCTGGTTTTTCATCTTCTGCTTCTGCACCTGATCCATCAATTTCCTCTGCTCGTCGCATGACTGTTCCTTCTGTACATGTCCTAGAATACAAGACCCATGAGGTAGTAACGCTAGAACCTGTATACACCTCACATACAGACCTGGATGATATCAGCCAGCCAGAAAATGGAGTCGCAGTCGATGCCGAAATCAGTGCTTCAGATAGCGAATCTGAGGGTTCTGCAAAAGAAGAACCATTGGATACAATTAATGAAACTCCATATGCATCTAATGAAAATGAAGTTCTTGGCTCAGTATGTGTTTAAATATTTATTTTTCATATGTGTATATATATTGATTTATTGTATATCGTAGAATTTTGTTATTATTATTAGAAAGAATTTAAGTAGAAATAAAGCATTCATTTTTATTTTTCATTAAATTATCTCATAGGCCGGAGAAGTAGTAACAGTATTGCAGGAAGAACAAAAATCTTTAATATGGTTTTTAATGAAACAAGCACGACCTGGAATGGATCTATCTAAAGTAGTATTACCTACTTTTATATTAGAACCTCGATCATTTTTAGAGAAATTAGCTGATTCTTATTATCATGCTGATCTTCTATCGGAGTAAGCAAGAGTTCAACAAAATGATTAAATATTATCATTCATTATATCTATTACATAATGTGTATTTATTTTTATAGAGCTGTACTAGAAGATGACGCATTCACGCGTATGAAGGCAGTTGTAAAATGGTATTTATCTGGTTTTTATAAAAAACCTCAAGGCTTGAAGAAACCGTACAATCCACTTTTAGGTGAAACATTTCGTTGTTATTGGCAACATCCTAATGGTTCAAGAACATTCTACTTAGCAGAACAAGTAATAAGCATTACTTTTTATAATTTTTATTCATTATCCATTAATGCAGTCTATTACTGTTTTAAGCGGAGCAGTTTATTGTGGTTTTTAAAATGACATATATTAGCAATATATATGTATATTTATACAATTAATTAAGATCTTTCAATATAACTTTATAGTTATCTCATCATCCACCTATATCAGGATTTTATGTAACAAATCGTCAAGATGGGTTTACGATCAGTGCTACGATTATTGCTAAATCTAAATTTTATGGTAAATATATTTTGAATAAATAAAAAAATAAAAAAAAAACAAAAATTATAATTATTAATATATTTTGCGATATTTCAGGTAACTCAACATCAGCAATATTAGATGGTGTTGCAATATTAACAATGTTACCCAGAGGTGAAGATTATACGATGACGATTCCTTATGCACATTGTAAAGGTATTCTTGTAGGAACATTATCTATGGAACTTGGTGGAAAAATAGATATTGAGTGCGAGAAAACTCGTTACCATACTGAATTAGAATTTAAGCTTAAGGTAAATTTATAACTATATACATTGAATCTTTATCACTAATTGTAAAAGATATTTTATTAAATATTGCTATGATACAATTATTGTATGATATTTTTATAAATATAGAATAAATTTTTTCTTATTGTATCATTAGCCATTTCTTGGAGGATCAGAACAGATGAATCAAGTAGTAGGAAGAATACGTTTAGGGAAAGAAACTCTTGCTACTATTTCAGGATATTGGGATGGACAAATAATGATTACTGATAAGCGAACTGGAGTAAGTTAGAAGCTGATTATTATTATTATTAAACTAAATATAATGAATATTGTTAATACTAACAAATATCTGATATCTTCTTACAGCAAGAAAGTATATTTTTTAATCCAACTACAGAGGTACGTAAAAATAGATTGAAAAAATATACTGTGCCTCTGGAATATCAAGGTCCATGGGAAAGCGAAAAATTATGGCTTGCTGTTACACATGCTATTAATCGAGACGATCAATATGCTGCTACCGAAGCAAAAACGCAACTAGAAGAAGCTCAAAGAGAACGAGCTAAAGAACGCAAAAATAATGGTCAAGAATGGGTTCCTAAATATTTTGTACAGGTAGGTAATTGTGCATGGTTATTTTTATACATTCGTAAATAAAAATTATAATAATTAATAAGCCATTATAAACTATGTGTTATTGAAAAATAATATATTTATATATATATGTATATATTTTTTGTTAATAGGATATTATAACAGGTAATTGGGTGTATAGACACGCAGATGCTCGACCATGGGATCCTAGAAATGATGTAGTACAATATGAACATGATTATATTATACGCACAAAAACAAGACATAAGACACCAATTATGCGTACTGGTAGTATTGTTTCTACAGATCCTATAACGCAGGTAAAGATATATTAAATATAATTAATAGTATACAGATAAAGATATATATTGTTAACTACAATTTATAGTATATATGCTATTATTAATATTTTTCGTTACCTTCTTCGCTTATCATATGGCAATGCAAGTTCCCAATTTATCAATTTTTATGGTACGGTAATTTCTTTAGAATAGTAAGCCTAATCAAACCTTATATTGTGCACTTCGAAGTAGTATATCTTAAAAATACTTATAGAAAATTTTAATATAATTTAGTTAGTGTTTATAATAATTAAATTAATCTTCAATTGGCTTTTCTCAATGGATTTATTAGAAGTATCATTAATATAAATATATGCAATTAATAAAAGTAAATCAATAAAAAAATATTCATTTTGTTTTTTTTTATAGATGCCATTACTTCAAGCTGAGTCTCGTTCATCACTATCTGTGTTAAAATCTTCAAAACGACAATTGTCTAATAATTTACCTCTTACAGAAACTGCACACGACTCGGGTAGTTCATCTGCCGAGTTACATTCAGATTCTAGTCAGTCAATAGGCAAAAGAAGACGTGCTACGACAAGGTAAAATATTGATTACTTTAACGATATTTAAAATTTTATTATATACTTTTATATAAAATAATTCGAATTTACAGATTACTAGATATCACTAAAGACATAGAAAATCAAATATCAGAATATGGTGAAAAATTGAATCGTATTCAACATCTAATTGAACAACTTGCTGTAAGGCAAAGAGCACAAATAGAGCAACAACATCATATAAATGTCTTTAAAAGTTTTTTAGATACTATACTCGTTATCGTAGTTGTTTTCCTTGTGCAATATTTTATGAAAGTATGGAATACAGGACCTAGTACAAGTTGAAATAATTTATTATAGTGTCCTATACGTTACGTAATTATTTACATATAGTAAAATAAAAAAATCAGCTTTTTATTTTTCATAATAAAAATATATATATATATAAATATGTATACATTTTTTTGTCCATAACAAAAAATATATATTATAACATTAACCACACACACACACACATAACTGAATTACATAGAAAAATGTGTACAATATTTATGTAAAATTATTTTCATAGGGTATCAAAGGTGTATAGTTAATGCCTAATCTATTGGATTACCAATCAATATGAGCTTAATTTCTTGTATATAATAGCTAAATTGCAACATTATATAAGATACTATACATATTCTAATTATTATAATTGTAATTGTGCAACTACTCTATGGTAAAATGCAAATATAATAACGAAATTATTACAGTAAAGTTCAAATAATCTTGTAGATTACATACTTGATGTCTATATATTATATAAAGTTATAAAAATTATAAAAATTAATTGTAAATTGTACCATTGTTTTGACTCATTGATCTTCATTGAAGTATCTTAATATTATATATCCATCCTTTAAGTTGGAGAGCTTTGTATCAATGAATTAAACAGTGTTTTAAGAGTAATTGCATGTTTAAACTTGTATAAATATTAACATAAAGCTTTATTCCTCTAATTTAATAGAATTCATTACAATCGGTACGAGAAATATTTACGAAATAAATTTCAGTATAATATTTTTTATAAACAAAATTTATATATCTCTGCACGCTCTTTTAGAGGAATCACATATTTGTAAAGTATCTATAGAGCTTTATTACATTTTATTTGTGACTGATATAATGACGAATTGATGAATTTTATTTAATTTATAGTACAGTGCCTAATAAGTCTTTGGTGTTCATGATTTAATATAAAAAAAGGTGTAAAAATATAATAAACATGATCCCTGAAAATGAAAGATTTTAATAATGATATTCCAGAAAAAAAAAGAAGTATTGTTATAAATATTTAAAAGTTGGTCCTAATGTTATCACCGCCTGGTATCAACGTTAACATAATATTTCCGTATATTATATGATACTTGGATTATACGATAAGCATATTTATATTTTACAAATACTATTTTTAATCATATACCAAAATTCGATTACATTTAATAATCCAAATATAATAATATAATGTTTAAAAAAAAAGTTATTTATTGAAAGAAATATCTTTTCTATAATATAGTTTCTACATATAATAAAACGTTCCTTATATATATATATATATTGGCAAACTTGCTAAAATATTGCAAAACTTCCTGATTGATAAGAAATTAGGATCAAGAGAAAATTGTGAAAATCGATTACTAGAGTTTTTCGCCAATAAGGACCAAGACTTCTATGAGAGAGGCATTATGAAGCTACCTTTAAAATAGTAACAAATTATACAACAAAACGGTGCATATTTGACCCAAATTGGACAATCCGAAATATCTTAAATAAAGTCTTGAATTTCACGCAAAAATAATGGATTTCTTTTTCCCCAACCTATTATTATAATTATAAATATTCTAAGTAGTATTTAATATACATAAAAGAATTATCGTTTTTAATGTTGTATTTCCTCAACTTTGTATTTTGCATCTATATAAGAAAAATTATTATTGTACATGATCACTTTATTATGCAAATAAACTAATTCATTTCACTAATCTTATAAATATAAATGATGTATGCTTCTCGAATAGTACATTTGTCTAAGTATTTCTTTCTTAAAATCAAAAACAATGAAACTATTCCAGGTAATAAAGTTTACATCCTGTATATATATTTGTTTGATTCTAATATTTTTATAACATAAATGTCACTTATGTCAGTATCCCTCGGATTGTCAAATTCATAGGTTGTTAATAACAAAAATTTATAATATCATTTAATTAAAAAAAAAAAAAACATAATAATGCATAAAACACAAGGTTGAATTTAATTGCATGTGAACAAATGTGCAGATTGTAAATCATATGTATGTAAAAGATAACATTATTTTTGTTTCCAGATTATTCTAAAATAAATCAAGGATCAATACCGGTAACTCCGCAAATGATACAAAATGCTGTAGAAGTCTTACAAATGAGAAAGCTTTTTGTTAACACTGAATTAATAATAGATTATTTGATAAGACATTATCCGGTTGATAACAAAACAATTACAATAGAAATTATTCCAAAGTTAAAGCATGCCGTACGTATTGGATTAATAGCAAAATATGGAGATGATCAATTTTGTATTCCGACATTACTACAAGACGCTAATATATTTGAAACGACATTCACTTCACTTTAGAATTTTTATTACATTGTAAGATTATTTTTCTTTTATTTCTTTCTAGAGATATATTTTATTTTACTATTAATGTGAAAAAAAAGTACACATATACTTGATAAATTTTCAAATTTATTTTTCCTATGAATAAAATTGTATTCTACATTTTCGACTTACAATTAATTTTTTATATAGAATCACTCTTGCTCGCTCGTACCCATCAATTGTACTTTATATAACTGATATACTCTGTATATATAAAGTCATTCGTATATCCTTCTTCTTTTTGTTAGGACTTCGTCCTGTTATATTTTAGCTATATAGTTCTCTTCAGGGCGTTTATTGCTCTTACGACTCTGATGTTCAACTTTCATGCCACCGTTTTGGAGGTCTTCCCGATGGTCTCGTTGTTCTTATTTTTCCTATTTTTGCCACTTTCGACAGTCTACTGTCGTCCATCCTGTCGTCAATCCTATTTACATAGTCTCGTCACTCTCTTCTCCTCCTTTTTATCTACCTTATCACGTCTTGGGTCTTACATTCTTTTCTTATTTCTTTGTTTCTTCTTCTGTCTCTCGTATATTCGTATATTTAAAAATATAATCATAATATAATTAACAATTATCATTATTTTGTCCTGTAGGAACATTTGTGTGAAAATTAAAAAGTAACTTAGCTTGAGTTAAAATTGCATTAAATAGACGAGCAAAATTTGGAGAATTCTGAAGTTTTAGTTTAATATAATCTTCAACGTTTTTACGTTTATTAAAACTAACATATAGATTATATATTAAAGTACCATTAAACATGTAATATAGTTTTGGAGTTTCATATGGATGACCCAATAGCGCATTCAAATCAAAACTATGTTTCAAACAATTTTGAAATTGTGTGAATATATGAACAATCTTTGGTTTATATAGTTTTTTATTTTGTTGAATTTTCGGGTCGATGTCGTTATAAGATATAAAGAATGGCGCTAACATTAAACAATCAGTTTCCGTAATTTCATTTATTAATTCTGTAATACTCTTTTCTTCAAGTAACTGCGGAGAAAGATCTATTTCTCCAATTTGATTTATTAAGTCTGTAACTTTCATTTCTTCATCTAGTATTGAAAAAGAATTAAATGTTTGTGATTTTGATTGAGTATTTCTTTCTAATACTTTCAACTTATTACTGAATTTTGATCTAAATGATGTAATTGATTTATAAAAACCAATTTTTAAATGAATAATATGTTGTAACATTGCAAAGAGTAACGCATATATATGAATATTAGATGATAATGATAAGTTATCTATCCAATATTTTATTGCAGTAATATACAATCTCCAATTTTGAGGAAATTTATTCACAAGATCGTATTGTTTTATATTTAAAGTATTATCATAAATGTATTTTCTTATATTTAATGGGACTTCTCTAAGATCGAAAAGAGATGGAATTTTATCAATACCAATATTATCAAGGTATTGTAATGAATATTGAATTATCTTATTATCTGGTCCTCTAGTTAAAATGTGTGAGTTTTCCTTTGATTTTTCAAATCCTGTTATAAGTAATGTATATATAACATCAATAATCTTTTTGCTCATAAATATACTTGATGGTTGATTATAATCTTCAGCTTGTGCAGGATACAAATACTTTTTGTGCGCTAATAAAGTTATAAAATAATTTGGGAAAAAACCTTTAGAAAATTCAACGATAAACCAATGGGGTAACTGATCAATAATATCCTCCTGTACAATTTTAAACGAAAAACCTTTCGTATTTTCGTATTTTTTTAATAGGAGATGTATCGTACTAATTATATTATCTCTAGGAATCGTATCAAATTCTGTTCTTGCAGTGGTAATATTATTAATAGTTTCTTTGGAAAAACCCAATTGAAACAGTATATCTTCTGGTATATTGATATATTCATTTATGATCATCTCCATTATTTTAAGTATTCGTGTTTTACTATCCAAATGTACATAATCTATTATGTTAGATATAACAGTGTTTATTTCTTGTTGAGCCAACCATTGAAATATAGCCTGTATGCGATACTGCATTTGATTATTACAACGTAATTTTTTCTTTATTACTTGTTTTTCTATAGCCTTGCACAAATCATCGAATTCCTGTGGCTCTATGTAATCATTTCCAATCAACATAGCAGCTAAGGGTAACTTCCAATCAACCAATCCTTTAAACATACTAAATAAAAACTCTATTTTATAAATTGAACATACTTTTGGCAATTCTGTACTTTTTCGTGTCCGTTTCAATGTATTGAACGGTATATACATTGATCCATAAATAAAAAAATCAGAATCAAGACTAAGTACAGGGCATTGTAAAAGTTTAGCAACACCAGCTATGGCATTGTCAGCTTCAAATAAACATTGTACATATCTTATGTCCATTTCATTCAGAATTTCCTTAAAAACGTGAAACAATAAAGCAGGATAGAAAGCACGTGTATTAGAACTATTAAATATAAAGCAAGGAAAATGAATAAGTGCTGATTTATATCTATCATATAAACGAGACATTACAGTCTTTGTTTTTCTAGATTCAAAACTACCATCTAGTAGAACTAATGGTGTTACTTTGCATTTCATTAGGTTTTCAAAGAAATTTTTAACACAATTAGCGTATTCATTATAATCACCTCCAAATGCTTCATTAGATTTCGTATAATGCCAAAATATTTGATACGCAAGATTATTGCCATCGATAACCAAGAACGTATCACATAATTTATAATCTTTAAAAAAATATTCTGCATGATCTTGAATATAACTTGTCAAGCCTGGTAGACCCATTTTTAATAAATACTTTATAATTTATAATATTAAAAGCCTTTTTTTCTTTTCTTTTTTTCTTTTTCTTTTCCTTTAAATAAACTATAAATTAGTAATTTCTCATTACATGGATGGATAAAGATATATTTTATCTTTCTATTTATTTAATTATCTAGCGAAAATTGTCTCTTCGTCGCATTAACGTATCATTTACGAATAAATGCTAAATAATTAACTTTTAGTTGTATGTTACTCTATGCATATCCAAATACTGATGTAAGTATCGCGGGAATATTGCGTATTACATGGGTGCGTTCCACTAAGCGCTCACAACGATCACGCTCACGACCACAGTTTTTCCCGTTTCACTTACCTACGAGCGTTACTGTCGTAAATTCAAGTGGAATGGACTATGGTGCGTTTTGAGCGTGGAGGTAATAATACAAATGGCGAGGTAGTGAAAAGAAAGTAAAAGATTAAAGAGGTTAAGATTTAATCTGTAATCCTTCATGTCAGTTTCACGGTCGCCATTTTTATTGTTGTCAGTTTCGAAAAAACCGTTAATTTTCTCAACGCTCACTACGACCCACGTTTTCAGATGGGTCGTTGTGAGCTTCGCGTGAGCGTTAGTAATGACTTCATGAGTGACGTTTTCGCCGCGACCACAACGACCGCGATCGTTATGTGGAACGACTAAAGGAGCATTTTGATCGTTGTGAGCGCTTAGTGGAACGTACCCCATATATATTGGATGACGCATCACGTCACGTGCCATCTTGAAAGGAAACTTATCTAGCGAGGAGGGAAAAAACGAATAGAGACACTTGCTTACATTATAAGTCATGGTCAACTTTTTTTGTTCATTTCCGGTTTTTTTTTAATATTTTCCTCTTATTGCTTTGCTCTTAGTCTCTTTTAATATATTTTCTATATCGCGTCAGAAGACGACATTAAAAAGAACGCATCTTTGCGATCGATAAAGTTATCTCAACTTTTAATTTCGTGTTTTTTTTGTTTAAAATTGTTAATTACAGCTTCAAATCGTAAGATACTTGTTATCCTCATTTATTATAACTTCCTTATAGAACGAAAAAGAAAATGGGCGTTCCATATTATTTACAAAGTATTTACATGTAAATCGTTCTTTATGATATCACATTAGATCAAATGGAATATATCATATATCCCTTTGTCAATAATTGGAATGTAATCCACAGGTGTATTTAAAGGCTTGCTGAAAAATATATAATAATTATTTTATTGAAAATATTTTATTATAAAAAAAGCAACAAAATTATAACAATAAATAAAGCTAATGCAGTTTGACTAGTAACTAATTTGTTCTAAAGTCTCATGATTCATTTTAACATAGCATACATATTTTATTACTCGTGTATTTTGTAGACTCCATTTGATTAGAATTAGCACGTTCTCTTTCATCCCAAATAGTTAGGCCATCGCATGCACATATTTTCTTTGTATTTTGAAATAAACCAGATGAACGAGCGATAATTCCACAAGCCAATCTACAAAAAGAAAACAAGAAATGATCGCTCTTTATTCTCAATGTTTTAAGAGTTCATTGAGTGTGCATTATATTTTGAATGGTTGTTTTTTGTATGGCGATCTTAACCGTTTCAGGGAGAAATTTCATATGCATTCTCAGATACCAATTCGTTTTTTGGATGGAAAAATAATTTTTTTACAGTTTAAAATTTAATTTTTACAGCTTTAAATTTCTACATTGTGTTAAGCTCAAAACTTTTCAGTCCTTCTTATGATATGAATAGCCGTTTGAGTTTCACGCGCCGCTTTCGCGCTCTTCAAATTTCATGTTGAAAAAACCCAGCGCATTTGAACAATACAGACAACTGACTACGAACTCACAATCTGATGAAACGTGCTCAACTTTTTAGACGCATGTACGTTGCATCTAAACCTATCAAAATCTCTCCGTAGCTTCACACCTTTAACAGTATCTGTGTCGCTTGGTAATGGCCTTCTTAACCTTCTTTTCAGGGCTACCCAAACCGGGTCGCAACAATATATATAATAGAATTTCATAAAATAATATTACAAATTAAAAATATGAAAAATTTGGAAAACAAAATATTTAATTGAAAGTAACATTTACCATTTAAAACATTGGTGTTTATTAAAGCATATTAAATGAATTCCTTTTTTACATTACACACAAATTAGATGAAATCCTTTTCTCTTAACATAGATTAAGACAAAAGACTATGCACTGCTTGGCTTTTTTAGACATGAAATAAAAGGAGCGTCATCGCGTCGCTTGGATTTTTTTGTATCTCATTCAGAAAACGACATTGCGCTGTTCGGCTTTTTTCGAGTGTGTATTTTTAAAAACTTCAGGTATTCAAACGGATAGAAATCGAACTTTCTTGAAATATACGTAAGGGTAAGAAAAATAATAGTGGGATAGAAAAGGACAAATGAAAAAAGAAAATAATAATTCTAGTTCATTGAAAGAATATAAAAACATATAAAAAAATGAAAATAAGATATAAAATACTTGCAATATTATATCTTTTACCTCTGTCCACTATTTCCATCTATTATTGATTGTTGATTATTGCCTTTTCCTAAATCATCTGGTTTGTCAGTAATAACAAGTGATCTTCCAATAATATCTGGCACTCGAAGGAATTTATTGATTCTTCTAAATAAAGCTCTTCCATCATTGTCTGCCTCTATGTTTCCAAGATCACCAATGTGCTATTATAAAGAGGAAAAACACATACACATATCATTATATTTAAAATTAATTTAAAATAAAATAAAATCTATAAAGTAGAGATCACATTTTTGCTGTATATCTCATTGTAATTTTACCTTTTTAGATATGTCGTCTTCAGGTCCACCATGTATGCTATTATGGGGGTTGAAATGTTCTCCCACGCTATTAAAGAGTAAAATTGACAAAATATTACAAATAAATAAATATATATATATATATACATAATTATAAAATATAAATTTCTCAAGTGTCCATAAGTATATAGCTACCACTATATTTGAAAACTGTAAAATACTTTTAAAGTACTTTGTAATACCTTTCACATCCATCAGAAATGTCACCACATTCATGTATATGTATACCGTGTTGTCCAGGTTCAAGTCCATCAACTGTTCCATCTATTATACAACCTTCTGAAGTTTGTACAAATCTTATTACACCTTTTATATCATTGCTTATGCTATATCCAGAGTTACCTCCTAACATTGAAACTGCGCTATAACTGTTTTCTATAAAAATATTTATTAATCATATCTCTGATTTGGAATTGCAGTATTATTATTATTATTATTACTTTATAGAAAGAATTAGTTAGCATAATTTTTTTTATGCGCCCTGATTACAATTGTATATATTTTCTACATTTATATATTGTTTTTAACCCAGTGAGTACATACATGCGTTTAGTAAATAAACTATGGATGCATACGAGGTGGTAAAAAAAAAAGGGTTCAATATTTGAAGGACTTATAGTACTCACCAAGACGATTAAAAAATGTCTAATTAACACAAGTCCTAAAATCAACCCTTGGATGTAAATAAACTTTTATTATATATGAACGTTTAATATCGTAAATGAGCCTCTTGGCAACATGTTGAATGTACACAGAAGAATTTCCTTCAAATATCAAATCCTTTTTTTTTACCATCCTGTATAAAATATGTTTCACTCAATTCTTTTTGTTAATATATTATTACCTAAAATATATATTGTTTTCAAATTTACCTCCATATCCTTTGAAAACAGCTTTCTTTCCCGATTTTTCTATTTTTTCTTGTATCAATGTAAAGGGATGATTGGTTTCAACAACAACTGTTCCACGTTCCAACGAAATGTCTAAATTTTGAATACCATTCAAATCTGATAAACTCTCTCGTACAGCATTAACGCATTTTTGACAAGTCATGTCGACGGCAAACTCAATCTGTTATACAAAAATTCAATTTAAATAAATACATTTTTAATATTTGATCAAAATAATTTGATTAACCTTTGACAAAGACATCTTCCAATATATTATAATTAACTTCTTTTAATGACAATTCCTTTTCTTTTTAAATAATCTCACCCAAAATTTTATATTCTTATTCGTTTTTGTATTCCTTGAGCGTTGGTTTCGTCAAATGGCTTAATCAATATCATTCGCTGAAATCTCTTCTGATATACTCTGTCGATAACATAGGAAAACTTATCAATATAGCTATATTACATTTATTCGAATTTAATAATTTTAATATATCAATCTACATAAATGCATTTAATTATTTAAAATATAGATTTTTTTTATTATATTTCTCCATTTCTCTTTATTTATTTTATTTAATTAACGTTTAAAGAACGATTTCATTTGTTTTTAAATTAAGTTTTGTGCCAACCAATCAATTACAGTATCTACAAATATACGTGACATTGCAAAATATTATTGCAGATATTTATAATATAATTGATACTTTTTTTTAAAGGAAGCTGTGATAATAACTCAAATTTGAATTTAATCTTTCGTTTCTTTTAAACAAAAAATGTTTGTATAATTTGATAAGAATTAAAGAAAAAAGAAAGAAAAAATGGAATTGAGTGATGGTAACAAATGATGATTATTTGTGTTCACATGTCATACAAGAATTTATTACCATAGAATAATTAATTTTATAAAGTACATAAAAGATATTTTACATTTGATATTTATTATTACTATTATTATATCATTATTATTAATTAAATCAATATTCTACATTTGGTTTTATTACTTAATACCGTGTACTTTTTTAATCTCTTTGTAAATTGTCATTTTTTGAACTAAAAAACAAAGAAAAAATAAAAAGAATTAGATGAATGTATATAAAAATATGAGTAAAAATTTATTTTAATTATCTTAAAAATTAATTTATATATATTTTAACTTATTATTAACTATAAAAGAGATTTCTCATTTTATGAACTTACTATACGGATCAAATTTAATAACTTCTATTTTATCAGCTAGTCTTTCTCTAATCATATGTCTTGTATGCCCACTTACTACACTTTCTGTTAAAACTAAGAGTAGTCTAAAATAGATAAAAGAACAAACAAATAAATTAGTTAAAAGTAAATAATATTAATTGCATTTTAGTCAGATAACTTATTTACACAAAAATAATGTGTATTTTAATATTAAATACCATTTATATCTTATTATTAGTATATTAATAAAAAGATATTTACTTGCTCTTTACTCTCTTAAACAATACATTTGTTAAATACATTATTATCTATTAAATAACCTGTGTGAATATGTTTTATACTATGAATATTTGGTTATAACATGACTCATTCGTAAAAATAGAAACATTAATGCCATCTGTGTTTGGTAGCGAGAACTGAATGGGTATTTACCATCTTCAACAATAGATGTTTCATTTTTATTACGTTATAATTAATTGTAAATATAAATATTAGTAATTACAGATATTAAGATGTTAAAATTATTTACAAAAAAAGGGAAAATTCATTTAAAAGATTAAATATATATGTATATATATATATTTATAAATGTAAATATTTTTGTGAATACACATCGAAGACATTTAGTTGAACATTTCAAATCTACGTTGGATCTTGCCTGTGGATTGCGCGGTCAAATCAAAGCAATATGGCGGATTGGCACAATAACTTGTATTTCAGAGAGTATTATTTTGATTCGAATGAAAAGATTGTGAATAGTGCATACAAAGTTACTATTAACACCGATAATTATAAGAAAATAGTATCTCATTCGCGTATATAACAATAGCGTGTATTTTCTATTACTTATTAAAGTGTTTATTTGTTAAATATATCGTATCTTTCGGTTTATGTGCTCCAAAATTTATTTCATTAATGGACACGAAGATGACCTTAATTACTAGGATATATTAGCATTGTCTTGCATTTATTTTAATTTTTCATCATTATTTTTTTATGTTCAAACATGTCGTCAACACAAAATAAAATGCGAGGTACGTTTTTTTAATTATCTAAAGTAACCTTTCTTCGTTCTCTTCATAAGAAAATTTATTTCGTTATTAATTTACAGTTATTCTATGTATGATATCTAAGATTTGAATATCTTGCAATAAAATATTTTTTTCTATTAATTAATTCATCAGAAAAATGTATTAATTTATATATGATACGTATATATGACAGTTTTGTCCATTTATTAATATTGTTATTAATATTATTATATATATTACAGGTCCCGGAAGACCACCTAAGTCCAAAAATTCTTGTACGTGGTGTGGAGAGACCAAACAACCATTAAAATATGTTCTTCCCACTCAACATGGGAAAAAAGAATTCTGTTCAGAAACTTGTCTATCAGAATTTCGCAAAGCTTATGTACGCGGTGCTTGCGTACAATGTGATAATGTTATCAGAGGTACATCAGTCAAATTAGAACAGAAAGATGGTCCTACTAAAGATTTCTGTTCATCTTTCTGCCTTAATAGACATCAAAAGAAGGAAGCTCAAGTTGAAATGAAAAAAAGTTAGTTACTTAAAGTATTTGGTTTTTTATTTTTTACTAATAGAATAATATTTAAAAAATTATATTAAAGTTATACTTAGATGTACTATATTTAATCGTTTATCATATGAGATTATATAACTTATCTTATTATTTTAGGTAATAAGGATCAATCATCGCCTGCACCTTCTCCCCTTCCATCTAACTTATCAAATAATAACAATGTAGCATCCGCGACGCAAGTTTACACTCATACAAATAATCATACCAATGCATCCCATCCGCCATCTACTTCGACTGGTCCATTTCAATATGAAACATATCAAACTTTTGATTGGGACCTTTATTTGAAAGAAACTAATAGTTCTGCGGCACCTATTGAATGCTTTAAACAGGTATGCAGTATTATTAAAAGACAAACAAATAAATTTAGATTTAATTTTGTCCACAAATAATATATATTATTTAAAATATTTCATAGCACGAAGTACCGCCAACGAATGAATTTAAAATGGGTATGAAATTAGAGGCCTTAGATCCTCGTAATTTAACATCGACTTGTATTGCAACGGTAGTTGGTGTCCTTGGTCCTCGATTAAGACTACGACTTGATGGATCTGATAACAAAAATGACTTTTGGCGTTTAGTTGATAGTAACGAAATTCATCCAATTGGACACTGTGAAAAATCAGGTGGTATGCTTCAACCCCCTCTGGGCTTCCGTATGAATGCTTCCAGTTGGCCAATGTTTTTATTAAAAACATTAAATGGAGCTGAAATGGCACCTGCTAAAGTATTTAAACGTGAACCAAAGACACCTCGTTCTAATATGTTTGAAGTTGGACATAAATTGGAAGCTATAGATAAAAAAAATCCACAACTAATATGTACTGCTACTGTTGGTGCTGTGAAAGATGATATGATTCACATAACCTTTGATGGCTGGCGTGGAGCCTTTGATTATTGGTGTCGCTTTGATTCTAGAGATATCTTTCCTGCAGGATGGTGTTTTAAAAGTGGACATCCACTACAACCACCGAGACAAAAATGTAAGTTGCTTATTTTTATTTATTCTACACAATAATTGATTTATAAAAGAAAAACAATTATAATTATTTCTTATTTTCTGTATTTATAATAATTACATAAGCATTTATTTTGTACAGCAACAGGTCCTAACAGATTTAAATCAAGAACAAGTAATGTTTTGCCAGTAATGGCAGTGTCTGGTGGTGGTGCTAACGGAGAACCAGCAGTTGCACTGGTAAGTCCAGCTGGTTCAAGTCCACCTCCACAACCAGCTACAGAACCAGACACTAGTACAGCTAATACTAAACCGGATCCTCTTGGCAATGGTATTTATACAATTTTTCCAAATAAACAATTAATAGAACAATATACAAATAACATATTTTATAATGTTACAGTTACTATTTATGTAAATCACAATTGTACGTGTGGTCCTTATTTTGACCCCCGTAAGGTAAAAGCTATGCCAGCACAATTTGGTACAGGTCCTATATTAAGTGTCACAAGAGATATTTTCCAAGCATTTCTCATGGCAGCGATGAGTCCAAGACAAATGTTAAGTTTGTTGAAACGTGGCGAAGGAGAAAATATCAATTTAATTCTAGAAAGTAAACCTACTTCTGTTAGGTTACCTATATTTATGGAAGATGAGGATTTTTATGTTTATATCAGGCGACAACTCGAAGATCTTTGTGCGTGCGAGCACATGCTATCCAGAAGAAAAGAACCCTGTAATAAGTGTCCGAATTCTCAACAGCAGCCACAATCTACTAATTGTGAAGAAACGACTAATAACAACAATGATGAAAAACGAAGATGGTCGTCTGTAAATCAAGAAAATCTTTCATCGTCTACGCAGCAACAAGCACAACAATCTGTGCAAAGTATAAATAACACAACTCTTACATGTCCTATACCAGCAAAACAATCACGCAAATCGCTTCCAGGTAAGCATATTTTAGCATAACAAAGTTATGATTATTAATTAACATTTAATCAAAATTAAATGTGGTTTCCAAATTTTTGATTATTTTTAGAATTGGAAGCTGCAACATCAACTACTCAATCAGAAAATGCAGCGAATCGTACGCTCTCTACAGAACCGGCTGAATGGACCATAGAAGATGTTATACATTATATTGCCCTAACAGATCCTGCATTGGGGCAGTATGCGGATTTGTTTAGGAAACATGTAATTTTTATTATTTTTTTTGTCTCTTTCTTTAAAACTTAAAAAAGAGCAGTAACAATGACTTATTAAAATTTTTTTCAGGAAATTGATGGAAAGGCATTACTTCTTCTGAATTCTGATATGATGATGAAATATATGGGGCTAAAACTTGGACCTGCACTTAAGATCTGTAATTTGGTAAATCGTATTAGAGGTAGAAGACACATAATGCTATGACTTTCTCGGATATAAAACTATATATACATTGAGGCAAATTGCATTTGAAGTGGTTGCTCAAATTTGTTTTCATTAATGAAAACATAATAATGTGAATATATGAATGAATGTAATATTATTATGTCAATATATTATCTTTTATTGATATTTTTAGGATTGATTTAAGTAGAAGACAATTTAGAATTTACTTTGATAAAGTGAGTATTTGTATCCATGAAAAAAGCACACACATTTGTATTAATTGATTATAATGCAGACATTATTAATTCATTTTAATATCTCATTTTAATGAGAAAGAATCAATTGATACGAGAATATAACCATGTAGATAAATAATATATATAGACAAAATGCTTTCTCAGTTAATTATAGAATTGTTTAATTACTTTTTCAAGTCAAAAGTATGTAAAAACAAAGTAATGTATATCAATCAGTGATTATGTATAATATCAATTTTCAATTACGAATCTTTAACACAAATTGTTAGTCTTTAATGCAATATTAATCCATGATGTATTCTTTATCAGTTTACAAAAAAAGATTATTTAAATGGAAAATATGATATATTTTACTGAATTTGTTTATTTATGTTTTCGTTATTCAGATAAACTTAAATTCATTTTTATTTTATTATTATAGAAGAGATGTGTTTCCTCAGATTTTTGTTGCTATATTAATTTGCTTGTAATCATATATAATTTATATGATTAAAAGTGTATAACATTAAAAAATGTAAAAGCTTTACAATATACGGGGTTTCCAAAAACCATTCAATATTTATACAGCACACGTTTTACCAAGTAAAAAAAGTTTTATGTTTACTAAGGCTTTTTCACTCAGTATAATGTCTTCTATATGCTGAATAAATATTAAATGATTTTTTAAAACAGTCTGTATCTATTATAAAAATATGTATATTTTCAAGTATTCATATAATAACATTATATAAATAGTAAATTAATCATTTATTAAATTTAAATTTACATTCATTCATAGGTGATACCTTTGTATTGAATATATTATTATTATTATATATAATATGATTAATAGTTTCCAAAGTGATATTCAATATTTGTTTGAATCAATTAANAAATTTTGCAGTACATACCATAAATACACTCAATGAAAAGTAAACATACATTCTTGTCCATGTATGTCATTATTGATTCATATTAATTGAAAAAAAGAAATTTAATATAATAATATATGTTATATACGTTGATGAATAATTAGAAACTTGACCAGGTGTATAAGTTTAGGTTAGTAGATTATTATTAATATTTTCTTTTAAAACTAAGTTTTGTTTCTGTTTCTTAAAAAGATCATACTATTATATTTATAATCATTAAACAAATAAATTACTAACAGTGTGACTGTACAAAATATCTATAAGTATAATAATTGTGATCAATATTATATAAGATACAGATAAGTCTAATTGTTAAGTCATTATTCTATAAAGTATATTTTATTACTTTTCATTAATTTTTTTTTTAATTTTTTTTTTATCTTTTTATGTTACATGCAGTTGTTATATAAATATAAATATATTTAATCATAGCCTTTGTAATATCAAAATTACTTATAAATATCAGAGAAATAATTAATTTAAGATTCAACGAAAATATTTTCTATTAAATTTATTATACGTAACATTTCGTATGATAGTAAATAATTAAAAAAAAATTAATTTCAATTCATTATAATCTTATTTTTTATAAAAAGAAATTGTGGACTTTGTTTTCATCAATCATTGTCTTTTCTTCCTCCTCAAAGAGTAGTATTCAGTGTACCATAAATAATATGCATAATATTGTATTCTATACGTTACTCCTGGCATTATTGCTTTATTTATTTAACGAAGTAAATAATTATATAGATTATTAAATTAAATTTAAGTATGTACTTAGAAAATGCTTGCGTGCTTATTATGTTATGTGCAACGCACACAAATAACACATATACCATCCATTTAAAAATGTGTGCCATGAAATAATTCATAAAAATAATTTCATTCAATTACAAATTTCAGTCATTTTCTCTTAGCATTTATTATAAAGAAAAATAATATTTTATATCATTCTAATATTTATAAATTTTGGTCGTCCTATTTAATTAATTAAGATACTTATAAATATATACATATATACATATATATATATAAATATATTCTTTATATAATCGTAGGACTAGTATGCTACATTAACTTAGCATATTCAAATTTTGATTGCAGATTAATACATAATATAGTTATCACCAAACAATAATATAAATAAAATAATAAATATACATCACGAATGAGGATACATTTTTAATACCATATAAGACATGAAATACAAATGAAAGAAATATTTTTATTTAAGATTTCAATAGAAAATAATCGAACATTTCTATTATTGCATACATTAAATATTTTCAAAATATAAACGTTAAAACTATTCATGTAAATAAAATATATATATATATGTATTAATACTAATCGTATGCTTAATAATCTTCATCGGAATCATCGGATTCATGGCCTTTAATAGTTTTAGGTTTTGTTATGTGAGACAAATATGGTTTCCTAGCATTGTTAGAATATATTATATCATCGCTACAATTAATAGCTCCAGATTGACCAATTCTAACTTCTAATGTTTCAGTAGAAAAATCATCGCAATTACCCAATTGAGTAAAACCAACAATATAATCTTTAGTTTTTCCATTTACTATAAGCGCTATTGTAGGAATGATTTTTATTCGTAAACGTTCTGAAAAGTATATGGATAGTTTATTATTGATATCCACACATTATAAAATAACAAAGATATATTAATACTTTTAAATAGGTTATAATTTACCGGTGAGAAATGGACAGCGTTCAACATTCAATTTACAAAATTTAGCTTCCAAATGCCTCTTAGCTAAAATTTTGAAATGATGGTCTACAATTTTAGATCTTGGCGAATCATCTTTGTAAAATAAGCATACAATATTTTGAGATTTTTTGGACATCTCAAAGAATTCCTTTTCATCTGGTATTTCTGAATATTCTCCATGGCCCTAAAATATATAAACATATATATGAAATCAAAATGTTATCAATGTAATGGGATTCTTGTCGATGTTATAAATACCAAAGTAAGCCATTCTTGTTTTTGTTTTTGTAACTTTTTAAGTTCTTGCAAACGATTTTCTCTTAATTTCTCAATATCATTAATATCCAAATTATCCAATCTTTCTAATTCTGCATCCAATTGTTTCTCAACATTATTAGCAACTTCAATTACTTTTTGTTGTATGATAGTCTCCATGTTTTTCTTTTTTTTTTATGTAAAATTAAATGTTAAAATTACAACTGCAATAAACACCACAAAAAATCTGTAAATAATAATGATGTAGATGAATTGTGTGTCAAATGTTTATTTATAGAAACAAAGGAAATATATATACATATATATATATATTAAAGAATATACTACATTTAAAGTAAGCTAGTTTCGAGAAACGTTGAAATAAGTATAGTTGGTTATACCTTATATAGACATATTTCAAATAGACGCTGTAATACTTAACGCAAGGGATAATGTGACGTAAAGACAAGTATTCATATGATGTCATCGACTAAATTTTGTTCTTTTTTGTTTTAAGTACAATTTGATTGATATCCATTGTATATATAAATCAATCACAATATCAAATAAAACAAGGGTATTAATAAGATGATTTATTTAAAATAAATATATATAAATATAATTAGATATAATGAATATTATATTTTTATAAACTTCGAATCGTTGAAATATCGATCGAACCATCTTTGATTATCATTGGTCAATTTTTAATCACTAAGAATATCATTGGTCAGTTTAAAATCCCTAAGAATACTATTGATTGATATGGATTATTTGTAAAGAATACCATTAGTTAGTTCGAAATCCCTAAGAATACTATTGGTCATTACGGATTAATCACAGGGAATAGCGAAAAAAATTCGCTAGTTCGATGGCGCGAATTTCGAAGTGAACAGATTCATTCGCGTATGCTTGGGGTAAGTTGAATTTCTAAGGTTGTCAACTTGTTAAATGGCAACAGAAATGGCGATCTGAATGCGAACAGTTAATATTCATCTTCTGTAGCGCACGTTGTAATAAGCGGGCCTCCCCCTGAATATTGATATAAAAGTGAGTAAAAGGTCGCTGACAGTGTGTGCGTGAGAGTTAGTGTGTCGTTGATCTAGTGCGTCGAGTGCGTGACTCTTCGTCCGTCGTGCGTGCGTGCGTGCGTGCCTGGTGCGTGCATCCGTGCGTCCGTGCATCTTTCTGTCTATCTGTCTGTCTCTGTGTGTTTAGTGCATAAAGTGTGTAATTTCGATCGAAAAAATATGTTAGAGACTTTTTGAAGTATGAGCGAAGGAGCGGATTCGAGTACGCGTATTTGCGAGAATTCGCTTACGACCTTGAACACTGAGGACAAACCTAATGTTCCTCTATCAACGGAAAGTACGGGGACGACAACGAGGACGACGAAGGAGACGACGAAGGAGACGACGACGTCGACCACGACAATTACTACAACAACGGCGAAGACGACAACATCATCATACACTCCTAGAAGGCCACGATTTGGTACTGGCAATGTTCCGCTCTCCCCATACATATGGATTGATGGTAGACAAATAAGAAGCGCTTTGGCGTATACGAAGAAATGGCCTCCTCGACGAGTGAGTTTCCCAACAAATGACATGAATTTGGTTACGGGGTATTTGGAGCCGCCTAATCCTTGGAGACACGGTGAGAACAATCATTTATTCTTTCTTCTTATTTTTATTTATCTTTTTTATAATATATATATATATATTTTTTTTTTTTTTTTTCATTTTTTTCAATCGTTCTTCAATATGATATTTGATCTTAAATGAAGAGGCATGTAAGTATAAGATTTTTTTTTTATTTTTTTTTTTTTTTAAATCTGTTTCATCATTATTACAATCTAACAGTGTCCTCTTGATGATTTCTCAGTAAGTATTGGTCTAACTTTTTCATATAGAAAATTCATCGAAGACTATATTTACTTATCACTTATTTGCCTCGTTAACATAGTTGAAGATAACAGATAATTATTTGGTATAATACTACTACTGATAATATTAATGTCCTTATTGTAATACAATTGATCTCTTATTATTTCTCTTATACTCATAATTTTTTTTTTCTTCTTTAACTTAATTATCCAGGATCATTACAATCCATTGTAGTAATATTAAAATAAAATCGTCGATCAATTTATTATTACATTGTTATTATTAGGAACTCTATATACACTTAACGCAATGGTTTCTTCTTTCTTATCCATCTGTTAATCCATTATTGTTACGACAAAAGAGTTGTAAAAAAGTTAAAATATGACTACGAACAATAATAACCTGAATAATAAATAATCCAAATAAATAAATAATATACAATATATAATGTTTACTAATTGTAATATTAGAAAACATACAAATTAATTTTATATATTAAAACAATGAAGTAATTAAGATCGGATTAATCTAGTGATTGTATCTTGTAAAATTCATTAATTAAAAACTATGTATTTTTTCTTATAACAAAAAAAACATTGTGCAAGTTACTCTATGTGTTGTACTAATATACTTCAAAAAAATGAAATTAAAAATGAATTTAATAAACATTGTTTTATTAAATATTTATCGTTGATTGTTGAATTGAAGTTTTACTTATAATTCAAGATTATACTTTTATACCATTGATGAACTCGAAGGTTTGAAATTTTCTAAAAAAGATCAAATTTTCTACATTACATAATAATAAAAAGGTACTTTTTATTATTAT